TGTTAATGATGGGATCAATCTTCATTGTGTGACCTAAAAACTTGATGATTACTTATTCAAACATTTGAGACACTTACCTATTTTTGTGCCCACATTGAAGTTAATTAATGGGCATTGTGTGTTTGTCAAAATTTACCTTCATATGGATTAAAGACATGGGGCCTTAGCTTTGTTTTTATTTAGCGTTGTGGGCAAAAGAGAAATTTCCTGGGTCAGGAAAATTTCTAGGACAGTTAGTCTGTTTCGATTGGTAACAGGGAACAGGAGGCAGGACTTTTCTTAATGGCATTGTTTGTTTGTTGTCTTGGGAGTAGCTTACACAGAAGCCTATAGGCTAAGTTTAGGTTTGGTTTTGTAGTGTGCAAAATGTGACCAGACTTTCCAGAAATTGGCCCCGTGCTCTTTTTTAAGAGCATTTCCCCATCTGCTTTAAAACAACAGGACTCTTTTTTGAAAACAGTCCCCTCTGCTGGCTATAAAAAAAAAAAAACAATGCTCCTAGATTCATTTCACTTTTGAAATTAGAAGTTATATCCACTTACGCACTCATATGGTCTAATAGTGTCAGACATCATTCTGAACATTAACAAGTGTTACTTTTATAAAACTTTGTTTCGAATGTATGAAAATAGATTTTCTTACAGCCAGATGTGATGAACCATTCCTTCTCACAGCCGATGTCGATGGCTTTAGTCACTGGCCTTCTTAAGGTTAAGGGAGAAAGATACAGGATTTCAAAAACAGGTCAATCTGTTTTCATTTTTACCGAGGAGAACTATTCCAATTTTTACTTGTGTGTATTAATGTGCGCTTGTGTGTATTAGGGTCGGGGGTGATGCAAGGGATGAGATTTGTGTAAGATGAATGAATGAGATATTAATTGAAATGTGTTTATATTTATCATATTCATTTGTATTTATTTTGTCTTTGTGTGTTGTTTCTTGGGATGTAAATGTGTAAATAGCCTACCTCATGTGATCCTGATTTCACTTGTTCAATGTTTTGTTATTTTTTTGTTCAGTAAAAGATTTTAATTAATACCATGTGATGGAAAGTATGAAATTAATAAAGATAATTAATTCAAACAAAAAAAAAATCATGTTAAGTAGCCTCATATAGCTTGTACTACATACTGCGGTACAGTAGGTGGCGGTATGCACCTTTTTAAGTCATGGTTTCCACCCGACATAAAACCAGAAGAAGAAGGAGCAAGGCAGCTCTAATGTTTAGCTTGTGTACAATCTGACTGAGTTAACAGTGCAAGTGATAGCTAATTCTTAATTTGGTACTTCTGTAAAAGGTAAGATATGTGCATGTGTTCGTTTAGTACTTTCCTAAATGCAGCTGATATTTTGTCGCTTTAATGGTAAAATTCAGGTGTGTTGTCAACTGCAGTTTGATCTTACCTCAGGTTTACGTTACGTGAAAGCACATGTTAAAATAGTGTGGCTAACTTCAAACTGTTTGCTGTAATTGCCATTCATTTCTTTGTCTTATTGATAAATTAATAATTATTTATTTATTTATTTTTTAATTCTTAAAAATGACGAATGTTTGCATATGTAGCTGAGGTAGCAGCATGACTTGTATTCGCTCAGTGCTCACAGCTAGCAAATCTCATTTCACCTTAAAATTCCTTATGGTTATCTCTCCTAGTCCAGCTTTTAATATAATATTTTTGTTGCTCTTATTATCTACTGAGAAACAGACACTTTGCAATCATATTGTGTATGTCGTGGGATTGTTGTCGACCGTTTTTATATGCTACATTGACAACTTGTCCACATGCGTAGGCATTGTTGTCGTGCGACATTATTCTACTTTAGAAAGACAAAAAAAAAAAGAAAGAAGAGAATAGTATCCAGAAAATATGAAGCACTCAGTGGTTGCAGAGTGTAAGTGCTAGTGTTGTTCTGTTACGTATGAGAAGGAAAATATTCTTCAAGTAGTTTGTAAATGTTAAAGTTTTCACCGAAAACAAGATGTATCTTTGCTGGACCTCTTAACTAATTGCCAGAATGTAAAATCATTATTTACTAAATTCACTATATTGAATTATTTGCGAAGTGAATGTTGATTTCAATAAAAGTTTATGTTGGAAACAAATGTTATTCAAATTTAATTTTAAATGCTTTACTTGTCTGACTCTGCAGGTCACTATTTAACATACGTTTTGTTTATCTGACTTCGTCTTTAACACACAATGTAATACATATTTCCACATGCCATACATTTTCATGTGTATTCTCATGTGTGTGGAAAGGATATATGATCTTCTTCTTATGTATGTCTGAACTTAGGTATGGAGCCTGGTTACCCTTCAGAGGTGCTACATGGCAGTGAACATGATGACCATGATGAGGGTGTCACTTCCTGGGTGTCGCTGTGTCCCAGAGGCCTCTGGAAAATCCAACAAAAGCGAAATGGCAGGAAGAGACAAGAGATTATTTCTCCTCCTGGAGATGATGCAAGTATGAGGTTTTTCTGTAACCCACTCTCATTATAAATGGTTAGTTCTCAGTTCATGTTTTGTAATAGAGGTGTATTGCATTATATTCTAGTTTAATTGTTTTTTTCAAGCATGCAGTTGCAGTCCGAGGTTGGGTTCATTCTGTCAAGTCCGAGTACGACTTAAAGCTTCCATGGATGCAGCAAACAGTGAAGTGTCAGAAAATGGGAATGAGAAACTTGACCGGTCACTCACAGGAGTTACGGACGCAGAAGCCACAGCCTTTCCAAGGTGTCAGGACTCGGTGTTGCAGGTCCCACTGGGTGACTGGATAACGCTGAGGCTAGGAGAGGGTCAGTGTGACATCACAGAAACATGTGTGGAGGGAATGAGAGCGGGAGAGAAATGTGAGGTAGGAGTTCTTGGCAGAAGTTCAATGTTTTTTGTATTGTGTAACTCTTGTTGCCAGTAATAATGTTTGGTTCTGAAAATTGCCTGTAAAAAATTTGAGTCATTATTTGAATCTATAGGCCTATAATCTATGAAGTTGGGTGGATTTATAGTAGGTCCCTATAAGACATGACAAAAATACTTAAAGGATCATTATGTAAGATATCTATTGAATTAAATCATAAAATGACCTTACTATATGGTCAAACATTGAGGGAACATGCTATGTTGAACAGCTGGCTTCCCTCACAACAATGCAGCAGCCAGTATGTCCTCCTTCTTAGCTTTGATCCTGGTCTGTAATGGTCTGTTTTGACCAGGGTTGGAAGGCGGTTTTAAGGCACCCCCTAATCCTTGATATCAAGGATTATTAACTAACTAACTTTTGCCTAAGGGGACTGGATAAAAATTTGTCTCTATTGCAGAAAAAAATACAACTAATGATATTAATTTTACAAAGAAAAAAAAGTTGTGGAGCAGATTGTTGAACATGGATTGTTAACTCACAGTCATGCATAACTTCATTTTTCAAGCATGAGAAACAACCTGATCATCCTGCTTTTATTTTCAGATACTGATATCTCCAGTGGAAAATGGACCAGATGATGAAAACACACCTATATGTGCTACGGTTGAACTCAAAGCTTTCACACCTGGCAAGGAATCCTGGGAGATGTCCGCTGGTGATAAATGGGATTGGGTGAAGTCGCACAAAGAGAGGGGTGGAGTGAAATTCAGGCTTGGGGATGTGTGGGGAGCAGCAGACAGCTACAGTCGGGCCCTCAAGCTTCTCATCACTCTCTACGGACACATTAGAGAAGCAGAGAAAAAAGGACAACAGCAAGAGGCAGAGGAGCACACAGACTCTGGGGATAAATCACAGTGCCTTCCCTCAGAGAACGAGTTCAGAACCACCAAAGCAGAGCTCCATTCAAACCTGTCGCTGTGCCAGCTCAAACTGAACCAACCTGAGCGCGCTAAGGCCAGTGCAGCTAAAGCCACTCAGCTGGAACCAGGTGGCGCCAAATCCTGGTACCGACTGGGCCAAGCCTGCCAGATGGTGAACGAGCTGGAGGAGGCCAAGCAGGCATTTAGGAAACTGCTGGAGCTCCAGCCAGAATCGTCCGCTGCTTTGAAGGCACTAAAAAACATAGCAAATAAAGAAAAGGAGACAAACACACAGTTGGGACTCAGACTCAGCAAAATGTTCAGCTAAGAAAGGAATATTATCAATTTAGAATCATGTTTCTACGGCCACTGTCTTAGCTCACAGGTAAAGCTGTAAATGTGTGAATTTGATGTTTTATGTGTGAGTTGGTTGAATGTAACTTAAAAATAAAATATACATGTCTGAATCTATTTGGGTTAAGTAATCAACTCATGGGAGTTATTATATTAAGAGATCATAACAGTAGTCTGTGATTGTGCACAAAACATGAGAATGGTTGAAGAACAATTAACGATGTAGTTTATTTGGTTGTCCACAAGGTGTCAGCATTTAATCACACTTGCAGAGAGACGCGCACGCTGCTGCTATGCCGCTTTGTGAGAAAATGCCGAAACCCGGGATCGAACCAGGGACCTTTAGATCTTCAGTCTAACGCTCTCCCAACTGAGCTATTTCGGCGGATAGATATGGTGTCATGCGTCTGTTATTGACAAACATATGATACAGTACGATGTTTTGTACATCAGTCGATGACATGTTCAATGTGCGGGGAAAAAAACGTCTACATTCAACCAACGTGGCACTCAAACCAAGGAACATTTAACGAGGTTATCCAGGTCAGTTCTTTTTTTATTCCTACCCAAATGTACGAACCCAAAAGTTCGCAATTACTGATTTTGACAGCCGAGGCCAACCATTCGATCTAATTAGCTAAACTTACAATTTTCACTATTTACATATATGCGGTGTGGAAACCTTAACATGCCTTAAGCGGTTTAAACATACTTTTTAGATTTAAGATATTATCCTACATTAAACCCACCGTCTAAGATTATTGGCTCGAAAGTCTTAGTTTAGGCCTTTAATATATAAGAATATCGTAAATGTGTCATAGAAGTTGTGTGTGAAAGAGGGATTGGATATCACAAGATAGTGTTCACACCATTGATAAAATAGTTTATTTGTATTCATGGTGCCTTTTCATTTCAAAACTGTTTCAGGAGTCTTGACATATAAAAGCAAATCTAGACCCTGGCTTTGTTCATTTCATTGTGTATTCTGCTTGCTTATTCGTGGAAAACAGAAACATAGTATTAAGAAATATCCTCTGGTCCTCTGAGGCTTTGCTCTTGATGCTCCCAGAGGACTGAACAAAGTCATGGTTTTTATTGTCATATGCACATAGAAAAAAAAGTTGCACCATAAAATGGATCTTTGTTTGCTGGCAGTGAGTATTCAGAGGCAAAGGTATAAAATGCAACAAACAAAAAACAATTGAAAGATTGGATCATGAGCAACTCCAAACCACCAAATATTTATTTTCTTGCTGTATCTATAGTGTTCTAAAACAACCAAGAGTTTATGTTCTCTCTTATTTAGCTTTTCTGTTTATCTCCCTTAGTATTTGTACTAAAGGTCCAGTTCATTCTGTTTCAGTTCCTTTTAGACTGTGACTTTGTGATGTCAGTGTGGGTCTGGGCTGCTGACAGCTGTCTCCAAGCATCCACAATGAGCACAAACGGTATGAAGATCCACAGGACATTCATGAACACAAAGTAGAACCAGAAATAGATGGGGTGTCCCAACTCGCTGTGAGCATAACCATCCCTGTGCTCTGTAAAAAAGTAAAGCACTGCTCCATACAGCTGACCTATAGAACCAGATTATTTAGTAAGTACCATGATGTAAACATGTTGAACAACCACTAAAATAGATTCTGAGATAAAAAGTGAAGGTCCTCTTACCCAGTGAAATGATGAGTTGCAGAACAAATCTGTAGGGCTTGTTGTTTAAGAAGGCAAACACAGCCCAAAAGCTGAAAGGGCCCCATAACCAAGCAGTCACAGTCTCCATACACACAGTGAAATTATCCGCTCTAGATAGAAAATACATTTGCCAAGACACAGTAAGTTTAGTTGATTCTTTTTATTATGCTGGAGTTCATCATAGTTCTATTAAAAAAAAAGTTACTTACATTACATATCGACTGTCTCCTTTGGAGTACTCTTTCCCTGTGAGAGAATAGTAGACAACATATTGAAAACAAGCTTCCAGTGTATGCACTATTTCAAACATGTTGTATTATAGTATGTTCATATTATGTCCATATTCTTTATATTATCTGTAAACTAGTATAGCATGCTCACTGCACCTTAATCTGTATATTATAATCCTAAGAATACACTTATATTTATAGCATTTATTTATATTTATAGCATCCCATTAATCCAGCCATATATACCTAATAATTCACTTTTTTTAGTCTACATCTGTAAATTTTGTAATTACTGTACATAGCACAGACTCTTGCACTTTCTGCTTATTTGCACTTCTGGTGAGATGCCAAACCTCATTTTGTTACTCTATACTTGTATATGTGTAATGACAATAAAGTTGAATCTCATCTCATCTCATCTCATCTCATCTCATCTCATGTCTTTCTTGTTCGTATACTCACACAGCTGTGACAGGAAGCTCTGGTCTCCTGGAATAGCAGAATAATAGAGAGAGAACCAGCCTTCGATAACACCATGGATGAAACCACAAACTGCAAACCAGCATACAGCCAGACGCCTTGGGGTACTAAGCCGGCCAGTGGCTCCCTTCTGACCAGTAATGATCCAGGTCACAAGCAGAAACACCCCAGAAACTGAAAACAGGAACACCAGGATCTCTGACATAGACCGGTCGTTGGCTACATAGGTGGGTATCAAAAGGTCCCGTGGCCAGTAGGGATGAAAAACTCCAGTTGCTTTTGTGGCATCCATCACCTGTTTATAAAAAGGTTAATTGTCATCACAATTCAGAAACGTCAAATTAGAATTTCAATAAATTCATTAAACTAGCCTATTTGATAGTAAATACACCAGGTCAGTTTAATTAATAAATGTGCACTTTTGCGTTGAACTCTTGGGCTGCACTTACAATATGTCAACAGAAAATGTATTTTCTTTATTTACAACATTAGTAAAAGTCAGTTTTAATGCACGAACGTAAAAAAAAGAGACAAGAAACAGTAAATTGCGTGTCTTTCTTCTTACCAGTAATGCTTCACAAACGGTGTACGGCTGCGTGTAACCTTATGTAAAATAGTAATATATATATAAGAAGAAATAATCGCCAGCTGTCTACCTATGTTCAATATCAATGTAGATAGACTGAAACGCGGAACTCAGTAATATAGTAGGCGGTTACTAGTGGTACAAAGACCAATCAGACAACGGTATGCATCACTCGCGATAGACCGGCCCCGTTCATTGGCTCTTCATCTCGGAACATGAAGTCTGTCGTTTGCAACCACCAATGAAACCACGTCCCCAAGTCCAAAGTACCGCCCTCTTTTCTGAGATACTAATATGAAATAGTTTTGGTTGGTGGAAGCCGGGGAATTATTAAAATGTATGTCTTACATTTGGACTCTAATATTGAGAAACGAGTGAACGAGTGAAAACAAGCACAAACACCAACCAAAAGAACTGTAGGCCCAATTTAAAAAAATAAAATCCACCGTGGTAACACAACAACGGGATAGGCTACACACTAACATGTGTTAACTTGTTATAGAAACGTGCTCTAGACAGGACAGCAGATGTAGTTAACCCGTTCTGAAGAAAAACAGACTCTCCAGCCGTGTCAGGGTATTATCCCTGCCGTGACCCGGATTCGAACCGGGGTTGCTGCGGCCACAACGCAGAGTACTAACCACTATACGATCACGGCGAGCTACTGAGAGACATTCAGGTCTGCCACACTGGAGCATAATGAAGAACCCCTGAAAAGTAATTCACCACTGTGGTCTAATCTGCAGACCGGTTTGTTACCGTGACCGATTTCCCTGGAGCTAGAATTTACCCGTAAAAGGCCAGTTCGTGGAATAACTAACGCTATAAGATGAACTAAACCATCATTAAATTTACCACCTTTAATGCCTGATGCTGCTGGGTACCTTTCAGTGAATGGGGTTCTTCCTACGACATTTAAAACATTAAACTACGTGGTATTTAACGCTCTTGCTTATTATTATTATAACGTGTGTTTCATTCATTTAAAAAAACATTTTAACTGATTTCAATAGTTGAATTACATGTGGTAGCTCTAAATACACTTTACACTGGAGTTTCCTTGAGATAGCGAGAGGGCACCCACTGTATTATTGTGTGCTGTCCAGAGTTTTACAACTAAGGGAAGATTGATTTGAAGCTACAAGCATTTGTATTTATTTTGTCTTTGTGTGTTGTTTCTTGGGATGTAAACGTGTAAATAGCCTACCTCATGTGATCCTGATTTTTGTTTGTTATTTTTTTGGTTCAGTAAAATATTTTAATTAATACCATATGATGTAAAGTATGAAATTAATAAAGATAATTAATAAAAAAAAAAAATGTTAAAAGGATACAGGCCTACAACTACAACACGTCTAAAAACGGGGGGGGTTTAGCAGGCTGTAGACTTTCTGTATACATGTATGTTTTTGAATTATTGGTGCATGAGAGTTTCTATATGTCCCATATGGTCTAGCGGTTAGGATTCCTGGTTTTCACCCAGGCGGCCCGGGTTCGACTCCCGGTATGGGAACACTTGTTTTGAATAGGTCTTTATTAAAAAAATAAAAACATATCTCTGATAATTGTAAGACCTATTATTTATTCCCTCAACAATAAGCACGCACCGTTTGTTTTCGGTAATGTTTGTGCATGCGGCAATTTTAGGATATTTATTAAAGGATATAGTACTGCCAGAGCCGGCTCTGAATACTACCTACACGAAAAGGCTCCCACAGACGCTTAACAGTATCACGTGATATCGTGGGTCACATGACCGCAACACGGAAGACGCAGCTGATCTCCTTTGTCGGGTTGCTGCAGACTATTTTAACCAAACCGCGTCTGTTGTAACATTAGCGTTTAATAAGTTGTATTATCGACAACCGTAGATACAGTTAGTGAAAGTAACACCATCATGGTTTTGTCAGAATTTGAAGATTTATCTCTGCTACTGGATGAAAAGCTTCTCCGTTTCATGGACCAGCTGGAGTTACTGGAGGAGAAACGAGCCGCCCTGAACTCTCTCATCGAGCAGGTAGCCAAGAAAACCAGATAGCCTAAACTTTACATGTAAATTCCTTTGAGGTATCTGTTCACCCTCAGGTATCGTCTTTGAGAAAGGCGTTTACTGTTTATCAGATACATTACTGTCTGCTTGGTTTCTGCTAAACTATGATCAAAATAGGCTATTTAACTATTAAATAAAATGTTATAAACCAAATAATTACCGGGTTAATGAGGAGAATACAGAAAGTATCTTTATTATAACAACTGAAAGTAATCCTGTCAAAGTTGTCAAATGTGTCTCCTCAAATGAATGTGCATACATGCATCACATAATTTGTATTCTTTTATTCTAATTCATATACTTAATATGTGACAATTGTTCTTGTTCCCAACAGGGATGGTTTTCCATCTCCAAGGCTAGATATTCCATGGGCAACAAACAAGTCTCTGCCCTTCAGTTTGCAAGTGAAATAGAGCCCCTAGTCTGTGTTCATGCAAGGTGAGGGATTAGGCTTTTGACATTTCCAAGGCAAATTAATATCCATTAAAATTTTAACAACTGAATGTACATGTGTAATGATGTGCATGAATGTGTTACAGAACACTGGACAATGGTGAGGTGGATTTCTGTACAGAAAAGGTTCAGCCAAAGTGTAGTAATGAGCCTGAAAAACATGAAACGCCGATAGAGGATGTTGGACCTCAAGAAGAAGGTGAGTCTGCTGCAGTCCATTCTGGGTTAGAAAAGGATTGTTGTGTACCTGAATCGCTACGTTTTCCTTATTAACCTATGTGATTTCATAGGTGTCAGGAGAAGAATAAAGCCAAAAACCGATACTATGGAAAAAGAGGAATGTGAAGAAGCAAGTAGCAAGAAATCACCTGAGATAACGCCAGTAAGCAGAAGTGAACGAAGTCCTCAGCAAGATCCACTGAAATGGTTCGGGATTCTAGTGCCACAGTCTCTAAAACAAGCACAGTCATCATTCAAGCAAGGTATACAGTTACATTTCCAAAAGAGAAGATGCTCTGTTTTAACTTAAAGCAATTGAACAAGCAACATTCAACATAGAGTATTTTACAATATAACCAAGAATAGGACATCACTTGACAAGTTCTTTGGTTTAAGGTGCAGTGCCAAAACAACTGTTGATATTACATTTATTTATTTTTCTAGTTTATTGTCCTGCTGCTAGAAATGCAGTCATTTTAGACAGAGTCCAAATCGGAGAAAGTGACATCAACCATTTAATTTAGTGCACCTCACAAGCAACTGAAAAAAGTACTTTAAAAAAAAAACTCATATGATCAGAAGCTGCTTCAAATGTAATAGTAGTTAATCAGTGACAATGCACGTGTGTAAGAGGTAAACATCTGACAGTTCTTGATGTTCTACTGGTAAATCCTCTTCCTCATCCTCTCATTTTGTCCTCTCATTTCACAGTGATAGAGCTGTCAGCTGAGATTGCTACCCTTCAGACTGCAGTGTTGAACACCAGGCAGGAGCTGAAGCACAGCAGGAAAGACAAACTCATACTCCAGGAAAGAGCCTCAGCAGCCCAATCAGACAAGATTGAAGACTGAGAACTACGGAATCAGAGCTGGAGATGCTCTGAGAGTATATGATTTAGCCGGAACTACACCTTCACCCTGGTAGATGTGGTCGAAACTCACTTCATCAAAAAAGACCATAGTTCCGGGGATCGTTCCTCCGGTCTAAACGGGGCTTTTGAGCAGAAATACGTGTTGGTAGAAAATTAATTTGAATTCATCTTTTTTTGAATTGCACAACTTCTAATAAACGAGTTACAAATGTGAATTTACACCACATCATTAGAATGTTTGTTGTTACTCTTGAACTATCACATTGAAAAATATCTGAAATAGCATAATATGAAATTGAATTGTGAGGTTTCTGAAATTATTCAAGCATAATACAAATTCAAATTCAAAATTATGCCATTCAAACATTTAATTTAATAACTCATGTTGAGAAATTCCATGAAATTTAATTCAATTGCAGTTTCTTCTGACACATATTTCTGCCCATGTGGAAGCTGTTGAATTTGGTTATTTGAAGTCAGCAGTGATACAGCAGGTGGATTTATAAGTGACGGATTTAGCAGTCTGAACTCCTGTTTGAAATGGTGTTTTAGTTTGCTTTCTTTCTTGATTATCTCAGGCTCCATGGACTATAATACATATACAATGATTTATGAATACAAACAAAAAACGAGTTAAAATCTTTCCCATAAATCACCATTCATTTAGGGTTCATACATTTTAGTCAGTGACCGTTTACTTTTAAAGATAATTTAGTATTTTATTACTGGTAAAATTATAAAGCTTGTAGGATTGTCATCATGTTAATACATTTGGTAATTATGCAAAATCTGCGAAGTTATAAATAAATGTATCATGTTCCAGGTCCTCTGCAACTTTTAAACATGAATAAAGTATATCAAACATTATGACAGGCAAATATTTTATTTGTTTGAAATATGGAATAATGATATGCTACTTTCTTTCCAGTTATTCTTGACTGTTGTGTTTAGAGCACCATGTTGCATTTTACCAAGTCAGTAAGTATTTCTTTCACAACATTATGGGTTTTAACTGATTTGATAAGACTTGATAAATTAAGCTACTTATTTACAAATTACTTATTCCATAACTCAAAAATTATTTCATCTAAGTAAAGGAGAGTGTCACCAAATGTTATGCCATGTAGGCCTAGTGTTTTTGTTTCAGCATTTTTTTTCCACGAAAGCAAAAGGCTACATAATAGATAAATAAATATATGAAAAAAAAAAAATCCTTACTGTAAGTAGCCTAATAAAGGAGAGGAGAGGGGCCTCCTCTTAGTAACACCAAGAATCAAAGCGGTAATTGAACGCATCTGACCGAGCGCCACCGAGCAGATCGAGCGGGGATAAGCCGAACATTACCGGGAACTGTCGAGACGCTGAACGAAACTCCCGTTATTGTGGGTACTTCCTGGTCCAATCACAACCCTCCCTGTGTGCCTACATGAAGCACCGCTCTGTCTCCCGTCACTCGCGGTTCACCGACGGATGGTTGCGCGGAAGCGACGGATGTAGCCTCCTTATAATAACAATATTGACGTTTTAGACATCCGCAGCTGCCCGTGCGACCTGAGTTTGGCCGGCTTCGGACGTGCAACCCTCTCAAATCCAGCTTGGAGAATAAATTCTCTTCGGTGTACGTAACTGGCAGCAACATTTGTTTGATGTGGTGATTAAGGATTGGGGAAGTAAACACGCCGGCCTGCCCTCATGATCAGAGGCGAGGTGATATTGATATCTCAGACACCGATCGTCCTTGATTGCAAGTTGATTTCACTTCGGAGCAGAGGGACTGTGAGCTCCAATGGCGTCCGCTTCGAAGGTATCTATTCTGGATTACTTCAATATTGTGTTTGAAGGTGAAAATGGTAAAATCGAGTCCAACTGCAAGGCTTGTGGCACCAGAATCCAAGCCAAGCGGAGTGTCACGTCCAACTTCGTAACGCACCTCAAGGTAATCATTTCAAAACAAAATCTTGTGTGTCAGTGTTAACATGCAGGGAGACAATTCTCAATCTTTCTGTCAGCATCAACTGAATCAGCCAGCCCCTCAGGATCTGTAGATTACACAGTATATGTGCCCATGTTGACAGTCTGTTGCTTCTTTATAAGTGGCATACTGTAGCATCTTTCACAAAAATGAATGAGACAATATGATGGAGAGTAAACAATTAATGGACTAGTTAACTAGTCCACCTGTCAACCTGTAACGTTGTTGTTCTACACACACACACTCTCTCTCTCTCTCTCTCTCTCTCTCTCTCTCTCTCTCTCTCTCCATTCAGAGGAAGCACCAGGCTATGTATGATGACTTTGTGAAAAGGAAGGATATGAAGAGAGAGGGTTACGCCTCTGCTTCCCTGCATACTTTCCCCACTAACGGAGGGAATACCCGCTACACTGTCCCCATCAGCACTGGAGGAGTGGGAGGAGGAGGAGGAGGAGGAGGAGGAGGGTGCATTGGGGGAATTGCAACTCTTGAGGGAGGAGTAGGAGGAGGAGGCTCTGGAGGAGGGGTGACCAAGTTTGATAGACATGACCCACGTCAGGTGTGTGTTATGACCATCATCTCTTGAGATGCAAATACCTAGAAAGTATGTCAACGATTTAAATGATTTAATGATATCATTTAACAGTAATCCATGCTGGTTTTTTTTTGGTTTTTTTTGCCTCCATAGGTTCTGATCTCTGAGGCCATTGCTAAGATGATTGTTCGTGATCTGCAGCCAGTGTCCATAGTGGAAAATCAAGGCTTCAGAGAGCTGCTTCAGCTGCTGGAGCCACGTTACACTCCCGAGGCCCAGCATTACATCCAGAGTCAGCTTCTTCCAGCATATGCCTACCAGGCCCAACTCGCCACCCGCCAGTCTCTGGCCTCAGCGCACGCCCTCAGTCTTAGCCTGGACCTCTGGAAGGGTTTCACTGGAGCCACCCCAGGGTAAGGAGATTTAAAATTCATTATAAACAGCAGGATTCACACTTGGTTTTGTTCCCTCATGAATTAGTCTCTCTCTTTCTCTCTCTCTCTCTGTAGGTACCTCGGTGTAACCTGCCATTTTCTTACATCAGAATGGCAGATGCGGTCAGCTCTCCTGGCTTGTCTGCCGCTGACCGGAGGCCGCTCTGGGAATCGCGTCCTTTCAGACTTTGACGAGGTGTGTCACTCTCATGGAGTATCAGGGAGAGCATATCGTGTTGTAGCAGAACCTTTCTCAGCAACAACAACAGTGAAGCCATGTTGTCTTCCCGGTTTCCACGTCTCACCTCCTCCCGCTAACGGGCTGCACGAAGATGATGAAGAAGGGCTGGACAATGGTAAAAGTTTGGAGGAAGGGATGCGGTATGGTCATGGTGACGGTGGAGAGGAAAGAGACTGGGAGGAATTGTGGGAGAAGGGTCTGGGTGGTATTCGGGTGGACTGTTTCTCTCGCTGTCTTGAACAATGTATCAGAGAGGGGTTACGCTCCTGTCCGCAACTCTCCTCCACACTGGCCAAGGCTGCTTGTTTCTACACCTACATTACCTCTGCTGTGCCACCTGAAAAACTTAGTCAGGTGTTTGATAGTCCTGGGTCCATCATGGGGGGACCTGGTAATAACCCTCCTGCAGCAAGGGACTGGACTGCCCAGCTTAAGGTATGTGATATTACACTTAAAGTGAACATGCTGATATTGTCCATCACCAGTTGAATCAGTTATGGGGGTTTCATAGAAGTAGTTCAATTGAATAATACATCAATGAAAACTTCTAATGTCCAAACATCTGCTTGCAGCTATGTTTTAGTTCAAGATTTCCATCAAGGCAACAATATAATTGAAGAGTATCAACAGTTTCACATTGTCTGTTTTATTGTTCCACTTTTAACGTAGGTGCTTCGGCGACTGCTGGACTCCATGGAGTTCCTGGAGGAGTTGAGTGGTCCAGGGGAGCTGGCGCTGGGTGTGTCAGAGAAAGCTCTGCTGAGGGAGCTCACTGACACTTTAGAGCCTTTCACTGAGGCTTGGGACATGGTGCATGGTGATAGGCAGACAGATTCACAGACAGACAGGCATGTGTCCGTCAGCCTCGCTTTGCCGTGTGTCCTGGGCCTTCGAAAGCACCTCTCTGAGACGTCGACCCCCCGCTGCCCCTCCCTCCTGGCTAGCCTCAGTCGGGCTGTGGAGAGTCGGCTGGCTACTATTCTGGACGACCCCCTCTACATCACTGCCACCACCCTCGACCCCCAGTTCAAGCTTACGTGGAGCAGCACCCCTGATTGGCACAGACAAGTTCTCATAGAGGAGTTATCCAAACACTCAAGAGCCTCAAACACAATTGACCCAAACACAGAGCTTCACCCTCAATCCCAGACCCCTCCCAACCCTGTGCCATCACCGGTCTCCCCCCTCTCTCGGCCCTGCAAGCTCTTCTCTTTCATCAAGCAGAGACCCACCACACAGGCCAAGAGCCTAGAGCAGGAGTGGCTGTCTACCTGCGTGAGGAGCCCACAGACGAGGAGGCCTTGCATTACTGGAGACGTAAAGCTATTGACTTTCCTTTGCTTGCACAGGTGGCCAAGAGGGCCTTTACCATACCTGCTTGTGGCACTGCAGTGGAGAACATTTTCATGACTGCTGAGCACTCTCTGCGGCCAGAGAGAGGCCGCATCTTACCAAAGAACCTGGAGACGCTAATCTACCTCAAAGCCAACTTCAGATTATTATGGACTCATAGCTAAGCAACAAGCGTTTATTGTATCTGAAGGCTTTTTACATTCAGTAAAGTTATTGCTTGGATGTTAACCTCTGTTACTATCTAAGCCAACAACGTAACCTCATCCTCACTCTGCAAATCATTCGATTTTTCATTCCCATTCTTAAAAAGGGGTTTTCACACTGCAGTAGGTTGGATTGCTGTCTGTGTACCCTGTAACATACCACATGCTGGGGACCAGGGGTAGAAGAATTGGATCAATACTGAGGCATTTACTGTGACATTATTTTCCCTGATCAGGGTCTGGCCCATTCTCTTTGCCCCCACCTACAAAGACAGCTTGTGTCCATGACAGCCATCACTGACTTACCTATAATAACCAAATGGTCAGATATTAATAACTGTAGCAAATGATGTATTTCCACTGTAATACAATAACCAAGGAAGATGTGACTTATTCATTTGATGGTTGTTGTTTTGTTTTTTTTACAAAGAAGGCATCAGCTGCTTGACAAAAATGTCCGTGCATCATCACTTATTCTTTTATTCCCTCTGTACTGTATGTATGCCTTATCACTGGGAAATCCAATTAAATGAGTTTCAGAACTGAAAGCCGAGGTGTCTGCAGTTTGCAGATGTTAGTGTACCCATGCATGAGAGCACATAACACAGCTCTTTACCCAACGGAGAACAGTTGAAAGTCTGCTTCTATTCCTAATTGGACGTCAATTCATTTTCTGTCCTTCTTGTCTTGTCCTATATACTGTCAAGTGAAGGCCAATTCCTTATCAGCACTTGATTTCCTTTTGTGTTTAATGTCAAATTTGACTGTGAAACTTTTCTAGGGATTGGACGTGACTCTGCTTCTGCTCCAGGAAACAGAGAATGTGTATGTGTGGCGCAGTGAATAATGTTGCTCTGTCCAACCTTATTGGAGTGGATTTTGAAACCACATTAAGAGAGAAACTGAATCTTGTCATCAGTGTGAGTTAGCCTTTATTCAAGGACTCTGTTATTCTGTGCAGGGCCAGTGGGGAGTGAGGGTTATTCTATGTAATTCCATTACAATTTAATTTGAGTCAGCAGGAAGGCAGCAGGCACATCTACACAGTAATTGTCTTTCTCCCTTTCTTTCTTTCTCTCTTCTTTCAACACATGAGAGAACACGCAGCTTTTGTGCTCCTGCTCTCTGATGCTACATCAGAAGGCACAAACTGCCTCAAATTATGAATTCATGTTAGTTGATCTACAGGAAAGAAAGAGAATAGCTTCAATCAATTGGATGACAACTTTCTATGAAAGAACTGTTAAAGATCCAATCGTAAAGCATGTCAGAGATTACATCTAATCTGCATCCAACTGCAAAATAGCTTCATCCAAGTGTTGCTGCGTTGTCTTTGTTTAAAATCACTTCAGAGGAAGTGTGTTAATCTTGAGTGGGATACAATGAGATTTCCCTCATAGATCGTAATTATCAAAGATTGCTGTGATCTTAATGATTATCACCCCACAATGTCTCTGTGGATTTAGATGCTTTGCTTGATATTGCATGTGGATCTGTCAGTGCACTCATCTTTGGTAAGTGTAGGGTGTTTTTCCGCTCGTCCACATGGGGTGTGTTGTTGTTTGCAAGTGTATGTAGAGCAGCTTGAAGCCTTCCCTTCCCTCCCCCCACCTCCCCCACCGGCTGTGACAGCTCATCCATATGAGTTAGCAGAGCAGGCTGGGCTGCGGTCCTGTTGGTAATTGCCTCTGAAATGAATTACTTGGCAGAGAGCGAGACTGAGGGAGGGGAGGAAATTGTAATTGAACTGCCCTCTCTCTCTCGCTCTCTCGCTCTCTCTCTCTCTCTCTCTCTCTCTCTCTCTCTCTCTCTCTCTCTCTTTCTCCCTTATGCCTCAAGTTATTACATCTGCAGTGCAGAAAGCCATTTTCAGTCTTCATATGAACACACAATAGACAGAAAATTACACTTACTCTCACAAAACCATTTTTTCCCTCCCTCCCCCACGCCACGCCTCAGCAGAGAACCATATCGATGCAGGGGGATTTCATAGATTGATCGTTCAGGGGCACATGCACACTGGACCACATATCCACTCTTAGTCAGAGCATAGATACACATTCTCTCTTGCACATTGTGTTTGTATGTGTTTGTCCTGCAATGCTCCCATCTTCCCCTATTTCGGGTGCCCTTTAGTTGGCCTTGCTGAGGCCTAATGGGGTGCATGACTCTGCAGCTGGCATAGATAAAAGTTGTGTTGAGTAGAGAGAGAGCCCTGGTTACCCCATACACACAGACACAGCCAAGCACCGGTATTAATAACCTGCCTGTTGCTGGCTTGCTGACAGTTAAAGCCAGACGGATTAAAGAGATACCTCTCGGTGTATTTGAAGTTTAACATTTATACACAGAATAATGTTACTTTCCTTTCTTTATTTGGCAACTGAGTGTGTCAGAGAGTTAAGTCCAGTTTTGGCCCACCTTTGTCACTCTTGCGTTGTCCTTTGGCCTTTTTACAGCCATGGCATGGAAAGAAGGGGGGAGTGAGTCAAATGAGCCCCAGAGAGACATGGACATGTTGTGACTCCAGCCCTAGTACACAATGGGAATCTATTTCTGTAAAGCACATAAGGTTATCTCTCCACTTCAACTGAGCTCTCTCTCCCTCCATCTCTTTATCTAGCCACTCGCACAAATCATGGCTGACAGAAACAGCCGGTTGGGCGTTAAGAAGAAGGAGAAGAAGGTGGAAAACAAAGCAAACGTGGAAAAGGGGAACGGAAAAGAAAAGGCGAAGGAGAAGGAGAAGGAGAAGGAGAAAACTCTGAAAAAGCCTGAAAAAGTTGTGAAGAAGCCCGCAACAGATCTTAAAACAGAAGAGGAGAAAACAAATGGAGAGACTGGAGAGACTGGAGAGAGTGGAGAGAGTGGAGCGGCAACAGGAGCGGAGGCAAAGAACAGTGAAGAGAATGGAGACTATCAGCCCATTGAACTGCCACCATTTGAGATTGTCACAGGGTGGGTGAAATGTATTTATTCCTCTGCAAGAGTTAGAGCCAGTATGTTTATGCTTACAAACTTGTTGTACTCTTTAACACATTCACTATTTTACATGTCTTTCTCTTTCTCTACATCACATTGTTCCCACTGCATGTTGTTTAGTTAATTTCAGTGATGAAAGACTAATGACTCACACCTGCCATCTTTACTAACCCAGCGGTAAGAATAGGAATGAGTCACAGCGACACAGATGCCGGCTCTTGTTATTTCACTCTGCCTAGCATCTGTCCCCCACCCCCATAAGTCTGTGGAAAATTAGCTGTTTAATATCAAAGCAATGAGAGCAATATTTGAGCAATCCATCAGGCTACACATTTCTGATATAACATCAGATTCATGTCAAAAGACAGGAGTAGTATGTGTTCTGTATATTGGCTGAATCACCAAGGGTCTGGCAAATCCACAGACTGTGTGAGGATGTGAAAGCCAAAATTATATATAGAATCATCTGCTCATAAAGTGCTTTCCTCATCAATATTCTATCCTGTGTCACCATAGTATCATTACTCTTTTCACTGTTTCTTGGCCTGTTGACAAATTCATCACTAAATGGGTGAGTCATGCACCATGTTAAGAAAAGAAGTGAATACTGCTGTCATGCACTAAGATTAAAGGTGACAAATTACTGTAAGAGCACACTAGATGGATGCTTCCTGTTGATTGCTTTGTCAGTATATGCTGATCTAACCTTCATGCACTTTAAAACGCTACAAATGATGACAAGAGTTTGTGCTGTTACGGCAAGCGTTTTGTTTTGATTTCACTGGAAAAAGTACAGGCAAGTCTATATTTCATTAACAGACGCTTACTTTCATTCTCCACCAGGGAACAGATGAGCCCGTTCTACTTCAAGTTTCAGTTCAGGAATGTTGAGTACTCGTCAGGGAGGAACAAAACCCTGCTGTGCTTTAGAGTGGATACACCAGGAGGCAGCAGCGAGCCTCTGAAAGGCTATATGGAGGATGAACATGCCACAGCGCATGCTGAGGAGGCATTCTTTCAACAAGTAATTAGCCTAACTCACTCTGCTTTTCTTACTGTCGTGTAATGTTGCCCATTTGAACCACACCAACGGTCTCATAAGTTAACATTTACCAATTCCCTTTTTCTATTTCATGTTCTAACCCTTTCTGTTTATTAGTTTAGTTTATTTGTCCATTGTTTCGTTAACTGGACAGTAAAAGCAGCAGCTTTAGCCTAAGCTCCAGCTGCAGTCCCCGGCCTGTTGTCAGTAGGCAACCTAAAATGCATTAGTTGAAAATTAAAATACAATAAATTACATTAAATTTAAAATTACAGCAGGCCTAAGCAAAAGGAAGAGAGACATACAAAATGTCGCACACAATTGGAGCAAGAACAGATGGAGCAAAGACATCAAAGCAGTTCATGCAATAAAGACAATACACGGGAGACGAGGGAAAATAATAATCACAGAGGCCGTACAAGACATAACATGGAGGCAGGCAGTATTCTTTCTTTACTTTCAGATGAGCATAACAATTTGGTCACAGTCATTTTCTTTCAATATCTTCCCCTACTTATGACAAGACAGCTACTTGGTAAATATCACTCACATCTTAACACATTATTAAATGTTTTATATTGTATTATTATTGTTTATATACACGTATATTTGAATAATTTCATATAGGCTATTTTTAATATATATATACATTGATCATTAATGTATCTTTTATGAGCATTTTATTTTACAAAATAACTATGACATAGAGAGCGAGAACATGTAGTTGTTACTTCTTTACACAAGGTCCAATCTGCTCCAATTTTCATACATTTGATGAGGATGCTACGCTGAACAGAATTTTCAGTCAGTCCTAGTGCCCCCAAGTGGAAACACTCGTCTCTAGCTCTCATCTACAGTGTTTCATTTTCTCCAGATGTCACATGTTTGATGACAGCCCCCTCCTGAACAGATCAGAATACATAAATGGGTCACAGCACCACCAAGTAATAGAGGGGTAGTAAGCTTACTCATACAAACACCATCAGAACTACATAAAATATACACAGTGTGTTCTGAACTAATGGTATTTACTGCAATACATATTGACATCATGTCTGATTCTGCCATCTATTGGTCACAGGCAGTCACATGTAACTTCTTCATTCACTCATACAAATTCTGGTGTCAACTGTGACACACCCCAACGTGAACAGATAAGAGGGCTTCACTGCCTTTTGCTACTTCAATTTGGTTTAATTTTGAAACTGAGATGTATTTAAACCCATTTCATGGGAGCATACTTAACTTAAATGAACTCCTTCTAGGGCTTCAATCCAATCTGCCTTACATTTGGTTTGCATACAGAAGAGACCTCAACAATGAAAAGTGGATCAAAACTTGTTAAAAAAAATATGTAGTGTTGCGAGCCCTAAATTTAAAGGCAGTTGTTTGTAGCTCCATGTATGCTCCAATCTGCCCACAACTTTAGATGTATAATATGTTTCCTGGCCTAAAGAAGTTGGAGGAAATGGCAGTATTTGACTACAGTTGTAGTGCCACCTAGTGGTAACAGGAAAGTCTGTGTTTTACGCAATAAATTACTCCCTCTCTCCTGTTGAGTAAATCCACATACGATTCAGTTACAAAGGGCTCAAGACCTTGATTAAGCTTTGAAGAAAGTTTGAGTTTTCTTCAAAAGCTCTGTCTGTGGAAATACTGATGTCAGTGTCTTGCCATGACAACAAGAGCTTTTAGAACTCAGGTGTACATGATCTTATCTACACCTAATTTCATATGCTTGATGTGTATCCGAATCTTAAGCCATCTTTAGAGTGTGTGTGTGTGTGTGTGTGTGTGTGTGTGTGTGTGTGTGTGTGTGTGTGTGTGTGTGTGTGTGTGTGTGTGTGTGTGTATATTTTTTTTAAGAACACTTTCCTTAATCTTTCTTGCCATTGGTGATGGGTGTAATAGAGGTTTGATCCAGAATTAAATCATTTTCATCCCAACAAGTAAAAGGATATGTAATAAACAAATGAGCCTCATTATTTTACACAGTTACTTCATTAAGTGAGTCTATGACGAAATACAGTGTCACTAGTTGAAAATGGCTCGACCTTGTATTATCCAATCAACCATTCCTTGAAGTTTTGCTGCCTAGTGGTATAATTTCAAATTAGTTATAATACGACCTCGTTGTTTTGAGGATAAATAAATGTATTTTGCGTCCTGGGTCTCTGGTCAATGATTCGGAAGTATCTGAGTCCTTATGTTGACCAAGTAAATTAAGGTTCTTTGTCCAACTCAGATGCTTACTTGCCTACTTATGTCATATCCTCTGAATTAGCTTCATTAGGTTTGTAAACAAATATTTTCCATAATTAATTTAAACATTATAAAAAGTCCTGGGATTTAGATTAGTGGGTCACAAAATACAAAATAACATCATCAGCAAATAGAAATAATGAGGAACGGTAGCACTCTTGTCTAGGTCCTTATGTTCACATTAAAATTCACTGACGTGTGACCATTTACATGGTGACATTTAAAAAAAAATCCCTGAAAATGTTTGAAAACTCTGAAAACTCCTTACTTTAATTGAAGTTTCTGAAAAAAATGTCTACATCTGTGATTGCATTCAACCTTTTCCTTGCAGGTGCTCCCTAACTCTTCCCAAGAGTATGAAGTCACATGGTATGTGTCATCCAGTCCCTGTGTGTCCTGTGCAGCCAAGTTGGCCAACATCCTGAAGCAGCGTACAAAGGTCCGTCTCTGCATATTCTGCTCTCGTCTCTTTGACTGGGAGGAGCCAGAGATAGTGGAAGGGCTCAGGGCTCTGGTGAGTGCTGGCTGCAAACTGAGGATGATGAAGCCGTCTGACTTCCTACAAGTTTGGGAGATGTATGTTGAGAAGGAGGACCAGAGCTTTGAACCCTGGGAGGATTGCCAGGAGAACTACAGCTACTATGTGGAGAAACTGGCTGAAATCCTCAAGTAGAGGTGCATCAGTAAGTTTGTTGTTTACCTAAATGCAATCAAATCGTTGGATGTAAATTTTCTGGATAATGACTGTATTCCCTTGTGTTTTTGCCTCTCTCTCTCCTTGTGTCCTATAACAGGTGAATATGATCAAGACAAGATCTCACCACTGACTGAACCACCTCGTGCTTTCTGCAGTCAGACCGAATGGTGCAGATTAATATTAGTTTGAATGAACACTCACTGCAACATTTTTGTATTTTTTTTTATTTTGATAACTTCATAAAGAGGCACTAAATGTTTGAAAGGCATTTCTGTACTAAAGATAAATATCATACAATGGTCACTAAACTTTGAACAAGACTAATATTTACTAACATCTGTTGTTTCTTCCAATAATTAAAACATGTTCTAAAGGTTGATTGTTAAGTCTTCCTTTAAGTACCTTCAACAATTTAAATCATGGATAAAACGTGACTAAATTATCTACAGTTCTCAACAGTATTGTGATACAAAGTTATTTTGAGTGCAGAAAAATTCATCTCAACACATCAATATGTCATAATCTCATATGTTAGTCAATATCTCATCAAATATCAGATGAATTCGAATGACACTGATATAACCCACACGCCCCACGGTTTCAAACATATCTCTACAATAAATTACCTTAAAGGTGAGAATGAAATGTGACCTGCCTTTGAACCCTGTAAGCTCATATTCATGTTTGTATCATGCTATTTAAACAGCATATGCCAATATGTCATTTTATATAACCATTTACATTTCTTTGAATTCTTGTATGAAACACTGTGCCATGTTTTCTCCTTGTTAAGAACGACCTATGGATGATGCCTAAATCAACAAATATCTACCAATAGAGTTACAGAATCCACTCATCCACCAATGTTGATCTTTAGTAGCAACAGTATGCTGCGTCAGTGTGTCACCTTCTTTTCCAACATTCAAACCAAATCCCTCCAGACATCGTGTCTCGCTGGCTCATTCTTTACAGAGTACAGAAGCCAAATTCACGAAAATCTATTTTTTCAAACTAAATATAAGACATTAAGGCTAATTCTTAGATAGTAAACTTACAATATTAGCATTCAGGTCAAAGCAAAGTTGAAGCTGAAAGCTTGACCATGTCATGTGACCATGAGCCCGAGAGAATGAGTCTTACATGCAAAGTTCAGGCTTCCCTGAATTTCACTCTTAGGCCAAATTTCTTTCTCTTCCATGGTGGTAAGCATTACACAATAGCAAAATCGTCTCTCGAGTTATCATTCATTCAAAAATTAGTTTTTGAAGTGCGAATCGACTATAATTCAATTCAATTCAATTCAATTCAGTTTATTTTGTATAGCGTCAACTCATAACAAGTGTTATCTCAAGACACTTTACAAAAAGCAGGTAAAATACCTTACTCTTTGTCTGTTAACATTACAAAAGAGCAGGTAAAAAGACCTTACTCATTGTTATGTTACAAAAAGCAGGTAAAAGACCTTACTTATTGCTATATTACAAAGACCCGGCCTATCCATCATGAGCACTTTAGCAAAGCAGCAAAAGTTACAGTGGTAAGAAAAAACTGCCTTATTAAAAGGCAGAAATCTTCGGCCGGATCCCCGGCTCATGACGAAACGGCCTTCACAGGCCTAGACTGCGCTATAACCAACCGACAGACTTGTTATATGCTGACACAAACAGAGCTTCAGCGCCTCATTGCATAAAGGAAACCAGCCCGCCGTTGTTTTTTGCTGTATCATGGCTCTCTGTCTTTACATCTAGAAAGACAAAGGAGAGGAAAGTAAAGATTTAGATCATGTGTCACCTACACAGAAAATGTCATTTGAAAAGTGTTTTTGTTGTTTAACTTTATTACCTTGGTCTTCCTGTGAAGATATCGGTAATGGTGTTGTTTCACTGCAAAGTGTGCCGTTCTCTTCGACTTCTGCTGGTCAGAAAGTTTTTACAAAAAAAACTCAGAAAAACGTCAAACAAACCTCGATCACTTTTTAAAACACTCTCACAGTTATAGAGTTCTTGTATCAGCATCTTTACTCATCTGCAGGTTTTCTACCTTTAGATGAAGCATTCAGGGTTGCATCTGTGATGTAGTCAACCAGGGTATTGGGCACATCTGCAGGATGAAGAGAGGAAGCTTTATCACACGAGCGGTAACAGCTAAAAATGAGATATGAGTGAGACTGAAACCTAATAGTGTTAAAAAAAGAGACTGACAAACAGTTTCGTCAAGTGGAGCACAAAAATGAATCACTGGTGGGGCTGTTCCTGCAGCACATGCGGAAACTGCACCCAAAACCACAGGCTATATATTTCAAGATGGTGTCAACGTACCAGCTCCCTTTAGCTGAGGCATGGAGAAGAAGAGGTCTGCCTCTTCTGGCCTATCGTCATCATCAGCTATGTGATTAAAAAAAAGGATACCAGGTTAATGTCTCATCATGTTGACTGTTAATTTGAAATGAAATATCTTCTCAGGGAAGCACAAGAAAAACATCAATATATAATCACCATTGAAGCAGATCTGGTGAACCTTACAGAGCAACATTATTTACTTGGTGTTGTGCAATGTAAGTTCCTATATTCACTCTCATTTGAGCTTTTTCATAACATGGCTCTACTGCTATAAATGTTCTTTCTTGTCCATCAGCTAGTGCCTAACCGTGTCTCTTTGTATGTGACTACAAGTGGCTGTGGAACTCTAAAAAAGAGTTTGTTTCTATATCTAATTTTAATTGTAAATGTAATATTAGCTATAGTCACATTGTATACTAAAACTTTAAGAATCTGTGCAATTAAAAAGACCAAGAAACTCAAGCACAACCTGGCTTGCGGAAGACTCTGAGGATAATGCAGCCGAGGAAAACCGCGATGATCCCAAAGAAGATACAGCCAGAGATGGAAAGAAGCACCCTCCTCTTCAAAACTACACGAAAAAAAATTAAAACATCGTAGGAGAGTGAGAAAGTATGCTTGTAGGGTAAAACTCAGAGCTTGCTTCAGTTATACTCACGAAGGTTCTTGGTCATGAAGTGTTGACTGGTTTTGGAATAAGATGGTCTACCGTCGCGAATGCCCTGGCAAGTGTACTGACTCTGCTCAGGGTTGTCCTGAGGTGTGACTATGTGTTTCTCAGAGGGTGGATGGTTTATTGGTTTGTCTTCTTTAAACCTTTACAATTAGTTTATTTGATCAGAATGGTGAGAACTAACACAGTATATGGATACACTTAAAGCTCCTGTGAGAGGTTTGTAGCTGGTTATGAAACAGAATGAAGACGGAGTATTTCTATATAAATATTTTTAATGTCTTGATCCGCTGCCATGGGGAAGTTTACTAAAGGTGCGGAAATATCCTTTTTGAACGACTTCCATAGCATAGATTTTTTTCAGTTAACACTCCATATGCATGTACAGGAAAAGAGCGGCAAAGAAGTAAGAGGTGCCGCTTTGTCCACAGGGGGAGCCAAAATCAACATAAACTAAAAGTTCCTCACAGGAGCTTTAAAAAAACTTGATTATATAGAATTGACTAGTTCTTCTGATCTTAATTACCATGTGTAGTTCCACGTGTCCAGGCTGTCCTGGACCCCACATTTGAGTACCAAGCTGTCAGTAGAGAAGACCTCTGACCAGCCAGTTAAGAGGATTATATTAGCCTGTGGGCGCTCTGCAGAAACACAAAGCTGTTAAAACACAATAAACAGGTGCACACAGAGAACAAAATATTAGAGGGAAGTCAATGTTAGCTAACCTAGGATGTTGATATTTACAGCCTCACTCCGGTCTGAGTGAAAAACCTCTTCACTTCCTCTTTTAACCTGGCATTTATATGAGCCACTGTTCTTGATGGCAACAGATGTGATGTTGTGATTGTTTCCAGATTCAACAATATCGCTGTTATCTTTGTACCACATGTATTCCCATCCAGAAGACACATTAATGTGACAGCGGAAGGAGACTGAATCTCCAGTGTGTGTCACATTGTACGTGGGCGTCCGTGTCAGTGTGACTCTGGGTTTTGTATCTGAGGGACAATCAAGACATTACATAAGTAAAACCACCATCTAAATTCACAATACACTGCACAGCTAAGAGTGAGGAGGTGCTGGACTTTGACAACTCGATATTGTATAACCGGACTGAAATTGTTTCTTTTTTTAAAATTTTACTTAAAAAATAATGAAACCTCATGGAAATAGTATTCTTTTGCCGCCTGACAGCTAAATGTACGATGGAGGAATAGGGCCACGTTAAAAAAAAAAAAAGAAACGAGATTAAAGTCGTAAATGTACGACTTTGCCGTCGTAAATGTACGACTTTAATCCCGTAAATTTATGACTTTATTCTCGTAATTAAAAAAATAAAAAAATAAAAATAACATGGCCCTAATCCTCCGTCGTATAAATGCTTCTGACTTGAAGCAGAGGAAATCTGCTAGCCCGGCCTCCAGAGGTGAAAACACAAATCCCCCCAAAATGTATCTAATTCAGTTAGTTCAAAAACTTTCAAAACACTTTCAAAACTATAAATAGTTTGTGGTTTAACTTTAGTTAACACTTTTAAAGTCTTCAAGTCTTATAGCCACAGAACTAAAAAAGACCTTTCTGTGGCTAGCAGTTTCTGTTTGTATTGCTAAACTAAGCTATGTTAACAGTCTCATGGCAGGGTGCCTGATAGTGTAGCAGTCTTGTCGTGCTTCCTATGTCCTAGAGGTGGACGGCCGGGTTCTACTCCGACCCTTGTCACTAAACCAATTCCCCACTCTCCTACTCATCCCTGTTTCCAACCCCCCGACAAAAATACTTCTAATCTAACTTCTACAATTAAGAGGAAAGTGGCAAAAATGTTTTTCCATATGCACCACGGTGTGATGAATCAAAATAAAGCAGCAAATAAAAAATTACTACTACAGTGTCAAAAAAGAACCCAAAAAGCTTACCATAAACATTGAGTGTTAGTTCAGAGCTGCGGCTGCTGTCGACAGACCTGTTCTTGAGTTTTGCTGAGCAGCTGTATCGTCCACGGTGGGAGACTGAAGTAGAGACAATGGAAAGAGTGCCATCGGAGTCCAAATGTGTGGTTTTAGCAGGCTGGACTTTCTGTTTGTCTTTGTACCATGTATACATCCAGTCAGAGCTGCCATTCATCCCACAGCTCAACTTCACGCTTTCAGTGGGGAACACATCCAACCAAGATGTTTTTAACTGTGCTAATGGGACAGGAATTTCTGAGAAGAGACACAAACACAACAGCCCCTTAACAATACCCTTACTATACTTTCTTTGTATGTTTCTATTATAATTCATAGTAGTCGGAGAGGAATCAATAAGATATGAAGGTCACATTTTCTTCACATCACAACAAATTAAAACCTCTTCACTTGTTTTGGCTCACCAGATATGAGTAAAGTCCGGTTATCACTGAACTCTGTGTTCAATTTTTTGTTTCTTACGGCATTGCACTTATAAACCCCTTTGTCTGATAGAGTGGCATTGATGGTGAATCTGCTGCTCCTGATAAGTTCTTCTTCATTTTTGTACCAGACGTACTCCCAACCAGATGAGAGTTCAACTTTACATTCAAAGGACACTGACTCTCCAACGTACACCTTGTCTACGATAGGCTGTTGTGTCATCAAGGGTTTAGGCTTGTTCTCTGAAACACAACAAAGAAATGCAACTTCATGTATTTTATAATGTGAACAGTTGTTGTTCAATAAAACAGCTAACCAGCTAGATTATAGTATAAAATAACAGATGTGCACAGTAGAAGAAAAAAAAGGAAAACTCATAACTTCAGCATACTGTTAATATTTGAAAGTGTTTCAAAGCGCTCAATAGAAACAAACCTTTAACTTGAAGTTGTATAGTTTGGCTGTAGTCGGAGTGGAAGACTTCTGCAGTTCCTCTCTTTGCCCTGCATTTATATGATCCTGCATTTTCTGTGCTGACAGGGATGATTTGATATCTTGTTTTGGATCCGGAAAGTTCTTTCTCATCTTTGTACCACATGAGCTCCCACCCAGAGGCAACATTAGTGTGGCAGCTAAAGGAGACTGACTCCCCAGGGAACATCACCTTGTAGTCTGGATCCTGCATCAGAGTGACACTTGGTTTCTCGTCTGAGGGAATCAATAAATAATTAGGATGTTAAAAATAGGCCACATCAAGTGTAAAGAGAAGACTGTGTTTAACCAGATTTTTCTCAAACACCTATGCCCCCTGACCTAGTTGATTAAAAAAGCTATTTTTTATGTTTAAGGAATAGTTTATTCTAGATTAACTCCCAGAAATCTATTTATATGTAAGCTTAAAGAAAAAAGAACTCACCATACACCTTGAGAGTTAGTCCAGAGCTAGAGTTGCTGCTGACAGACCTTTCTTTCAGGTGTCCTTTGCACTTATATTGTCCTTTATGTGCAGCCGAAGCAGACTTGATGGAAAGAAGGGATCCACTCAGGTCAAAAGACACAACACTGTCAGCCTTGACCTCCCGTTCATCTCTGGACCAAGTATAAGTCCATCCAGTGTGTTGATCCATCTCACACTTCAGCTGCACACTCTCTTCAGGAAAGACATCCAACCACGGTGTCATTTGTTTCAAGGAAGGAACAGGAATTTCTATGCAGAGAGAGAGAGAGAGAGAGAGAGAGAGAGAGAGTTAAAAACAATTCAAGTGATTTTACACAATGAAGTTACATCAAAGCGACTTATGTAAATATGAGGATTCAAACTTTAACACTTTAATAAAACAACACAGAATTTGTCATGTGCTGTTTTTTCCTGATTTATTTCTCATCTTACATCTTCAGCATATTATTATAAAGATAACAAAACAGCTATAGTCTTAAGCACAGATACAGCAGCCTATTAGATAGAGTCAAAGGTTAAAATGTCTTCAACCTTTGAGAGAACACATAGATCATTTCATATTGTCAAGGCGGAAGCGGAAAAACGCTTCTCAAGATTTGCAAAAAAATATGCCTGAAACAAAGGTAACCAAACCAAGCTCTTAAATGTAGTTTTCAGCATTGAACATTTAGATTGACATTTCTAACTTTGTTAACCACGTAAAGCCCTTATCTCCTTTCAAAAAACATATTCCATCTCTCTGTGAGTATGCCAGTTCTATCTAAATAAATGAGAATGCTGCCCTGTGTTACTTTACCACAACATCCTGTTTCAGCAGTAAATGCAAAAAAAAAAAAAGCACTCAAAATGCTGTTTCACCTCGTTCAAGAGCAGCTGCATGGTTTGTTTTTTAAACACAAGGACAACACAAATAACGTCCTTATTTACACTGAGATGATCAGCATTTTATATATGGACCATGGATATGGATCATGTTGTACATGTGCTTGCTGTAACACAATGCTTGAAATGCTGCTTTGCTTTTATTTCACTTACCAAGAACATCTAGTTGCATTTCCTCACTGACATCGGTTGACATGCTTTTGCCCCTGGTGGCCATGCACGAGTATTTCCCCGCATTGGAACGATCAAGACGAATGGCATTGCTTTTGCTGGTGGCAGGCAGATCCCCACCATCTTTGTACCACTGATACTCCCAGCCAGAAGACACATCAACAATGCACGTGAAGTTCACTGTTTCTCCAACATACATGCGGTTGAAAACAGGAACTTTGTGCAAAGTTGGTTTTGGCGTGTTGTCTGAAACATGTAAAAGTTCATACTTTGTTACTTTGTTACTGCAACAATGTACTAAGTCTGAGTAAATCCAGTCTCTTACGATCCAGTTGTACGTTAACGTAGACAATTAGAAGGAATAGTTGTTTGGTATTTTGAGAAATATGCATTCTCTATTTTCGGTGAGAGTTGAGAAATATTGTAAACATTTTGAGTTTAACACCAATCAATTCAATTTCCTGTATCTCTGCAAATATGAACTGTCTTTACCCCATCGATGCTATATGGCAGTTAAAAAGTATTTATACATGTATAACATATGGTACCGCATGGATGCCTTTGGCTACCCTACTCGCCCATTTTGATATCCCATTTTTGACAATATCGGAAACCTATACGGATACTAGTAAGTATCAAAAAGACTTAATATGTCTGTACTATAAATATTGATTAGCTTAGCCTTGCACAAAGCTGTAAAGAGGAAAACACATTTGCTTGGTTCAAAAACAAAAAATTCACAAACTGTCTTAGCAACTGGCTTTAAGACTAAAGGAAATCACTGCTACAAGCAAAAACAATATTCCAGCACTTAACCCCCTCTAATGTGTCAATTTTATAATTTATATTTTTGCGTATTTAGGCTGACAAACATGTTAATTTGTTAGCCTAAATTGATTTTTTTGTTAAATTTGTGTGAATCTAAGTTTAGCTAAGCTAAGCTAAACTGAGGGATAATTCATAGTAAGTCTTGAAAAAAGCAAACCAGACTGAAAGTTAGCTTAATTTAAATGTGTTGCTTGTGTTCTGCTATGTAGCAATGACAGCCCACCATAAACTGTGACAGCAGCTGTGTTACTGAATCCAGAGTTGACATTTCGGGCTTCAAGGTAAGCTTTGCAGGCATACACTCCTTCATGGGCTTTATTGACCAATGTGATGTTGAGCAGTGTTCCTTCATCATCAATTGTCAGGGCAGAGTCATCCTGGAGCTTCTCTTCATTCCTGTACCAGGTGAATGTCCAGTCAGAAATGCCAACTTCACAGCTAAATGCCACGTTCTCCTCCTCGAACACATCCAGCCAAGAAGTCTGCAACTTCAGAGAGGGTGTAGGTGGATCTGAAGAAGAAAACAAACAGATAATCAACAAATAACCAAGAAATTGAAGATACAACCCAATGACATGTATTTATCATATGATGAAACATTTTAGAGGTCTGCTGACCAGAGACTTGAAGAACTGTTGGTGTACTCTTCTCTGAGTAGAATGGGATTTTTCCTCTCTTGGCTTGACAGCGATACTGTCCTTTGTTTGGATGACCAACAGAATTTATGGTGTAAGAGCTAGATGCATAGATTTCTTTTCCATCATGGAACCACAGATATTCCCATCCATAGGACCCATCGACTTTGCAAGTGAAGGTGACAGACTCTCCAGGAAACATCTTGTTAAAGTTTGGCTTTTGGCTCATAGTGGGCCTGGGTTTGTTTGCTAATTGATTAGAAGATAGAAAAATACCATTTCAATCATTTAATGCTGACCAGATATTTAGCAAAAGAAGAAAAAGTGATGGAACTCAATACTTACGATGAACTGTGAGTTGGAGTGGCTCACTATCTGCAGTATAATTGCCTTGTGTTTTGTGTTGGCCTTTACAGGAATAACTTCCAGAATAGTTTGGGTCTGCTGCAGTCACTGTAAGAATTGAACCATCTTTAAACAGTGACACATTTGGATCTGAAGCTTCCACTTGCCCTTGATTCTGTTTCCAGGTGAAGCTCCAGTCGGAGCTTCCAGCAACATCACATCTGAACTCCACTTTCTCAGAAGGGAACACATCCAACCAGGTGGATTGTAGCTGCAGAGATGGTACGGGAGGCTCTGGAAATGTATTTAAATGCATGATTTAATACATTCAAATACGACTATATGGAACATCCACTTAAGCAAAATAAAACATAAATAAGTAAACTTTTTAGAGGACAAATTGCAGTTATGATGTCATCGCTACAAAGAAGTACAGAAAGTTAAAAAAAGGAACAACAATTTTTTTTTGACAACGCCCAAGGTGATTTCACAGCTTTCCTTTGCTGGTTCACAAATTAAACACATTACTGTCAAATGTATTAACATATCTGCTCTCTCATACCTCTCACGCTGTATGAAGTGAGAGTAGGAACTTTTAGACTCATTATAACAAAGTACATCATGTTCCTCATGTTGATATACTCATGTACTTCCTTAACATTATTCCGCTTGTTTAGACAGTTTAGTTGAAGACTTTTGCAACATTTGTTTGGTACAAAAAATGGGTAAAGCTATTTAGTCTTTAATCTAAGATTCAATTTTAACTGAACATTTAATTTATTGTGCATTTCCTGTGAACAAAAGCAAATCTGTTTAAAGCAGAATGTTATTTTTAAATGTTAAATTAGCTTAAAACTACAGTTGAAATCAGTGCAGTATCCAGAAAATACTAAATCATCTTAGTTAAACTGATTTCTTACCATCTTGAGGATCCTCAGCTGCACAAACAGCAGTGAAATCTGTCAAATATAAAAAAAGATGAACATGAACATCAAATTAAAATGTACATGCAAATATTCTTTATTTAAGATGCATTTAAAAAATAATTAGGCTTTAGAACTTACATATCACACAGAAGACCTGGGTGAGCCACATTTTCCATTGAGCTGTACATGTAAAGGCAGTGTTGCTGGATTGACTCATGTACATGATAAGACTCAAAGTGGGCGTGTGAAAAACTCTTCTCGAAACTCACCTCTCTGGTTTTTTTTTTGCAGCTTTTTTTTTTTGTTTTGTTGAAGCAACAGGAAATGTGGTGGTCAACCACACTGGCGTTTGTGCTCTCAACATGCATTGGGTTGCTGAGTTGTGCTGAAAAGTGACATGGGTTTTTAGGGGAAGTGACACAACGTGACAGAATGTTAAGTTGCATTGACAATTGGATGGTAGTGCATAAAAAGGTGTTAAATGTGTGTAAGGAGAAGATATTCAGTATACATTCAATATAAGATGATTAATCTGTATTATTTTTGATTAAATTAACTGACTTTTTTTTTCAGCAGACGTGTAAGCTACAAGAACAGTTTCCTGTCTGTGAAGTTTTCAACCTGTGGGTGTGATGTGATTTGGGGAACATTAGCAGAACCACATGTTTCTTTATATATTTGCAGCCTACCCATTAACCACAACACTCACATCCTTTTGCCTTCAGCTCTTGAGAGAGATATAAAACCAACAAAACCTTAACATGTATGTTTCAAAACATTTGAAAAGAATCAAAATGTTAAGTCATACACAGTCTGCAGCGTCTCGTGTCCTTATAAGTGATCTATTTAAAAGAAAGTAAGTACAGGAGTTATAGTATGTGGGTGAAGTTATGACTTCCCTCATGGCAGAGCTGTTGCCTGTCAGGATGTGACGTTTTTGTGTTCCAGTCAGTGTTTTTGTCTCACCATAAGGTGTCAGTATAACACATGGAACCACAAATGCTGACGTTTAGAGATAAAGACATCAACATCTATTTCCATTTGTATCACTTTTATCACAAGTTTTATTTGGTAGATGAGGTCAAATAAAAATAGTAAACAGTATGTGAATAAACAGGCACAGGGTTAAGTTCACACACTTTTTAGACCAGTGGTTCTCAACTGGTGGGTCAGGACCCAAAAGTAGGTCGTAAGTAGCAGTTTTCAGTGGGTCGCAAATCTATGAAGTGCTCTTAAAACATGCTGGTTTTGTTTCTTCTCTTTAATCTGTCACGTTTTGTACCATCTGAGGTCCAAACTGCACTATTTTTCAGTCAATAAATCTGATGGGTTGAAAAAAATATCAGAAATTTGGGTCCCGATTTTCATGAAGGAGTTGGTGGTGGGACCAGTTGAGAACCAGTGTTTGAGACCATTTATCAATATGTAAAAATAAGATAATATTATTAATATAATAGAAAGACCTGGCCTGTTTTTGTCATAGTCTCAGGATGTCAGGCTTTGTCTGCTACAGTATTGTTACATGCTTCTGACTGTGTTTGAATAGTGTTTGTTGACCTGTGCTTTGTAATTTTACTGTGGGATGTATGTGTGTAACTTTGGTAAAATGGACTACTTCCTGTCTTCACAAGGACACTCAAAAAGAGATTCCTAATGTCAATGACATTTTTCTTGGTAAAATAAACTAAAAATGAAAAATAAATAAATATAATAAGTCAAAGTTAACTAAATATGAGTTCAAATCCGAATGTGTGGAGTACATTTTAACAATTTATTTATTTCATGCCATGTAATAAGTCACATCATGTCCAACTGTAATGCTAAGGGCAAGCAAAGGCTCATACATCTGCTGTGTACTGGGGATATTTACAGTAATGTAATGGTATTTAATGAAAATGCAGTATTTAGAAATTTGTGCTAGACTTTTGTTTTAATGTTAAAATTGGCACATTTTTGGGGGCATTTCAGAACCTCTCCTGATTAAACTGATTACTACTGTAAGTACCCCTAAAAAACGTTGCCGGTCAGGCGTCCCCGCTGCCAGTGCTTCGCGTTCCTGGCTACCTGGTCGATTCTGCCAGTAGTATATGCTTGTCTCAAAGATTAAGCCATGCAAGTCTAAGTACACACAGCCGGTACAGTGAAACTACGAATGGCTCATTAAATCAGTTATGTACAAGCTGGTTAAACAGCCTCTGCAATATACATTTTTTTGATTTGATGAACTATCCCTTTAATCAAACTGTTGTCATTTGAAGGCCAGCTTATATAGTAAAATGCTGAATTAAAAAGTTATTCTAATTTTGAAGTTGTCTTTATCTTTTATGCAATAAACTGTATCTTACTTTAAATTATGTGTAGGATTTTAGTGCTGCAGCTACTATAGCTACTCCAGTCAGTACCAACCCTCATAAAACATGGTAAAATATATATTTGTATTACACCTCCATTCAGTCATTGAAAAGGCATGTGAAGGATTTACTGTTTTATTATGTCGTACATATATATACTGTAATAAACAGCACATGGACACAGGCAGAAAAAAAAAACATGGTAAATTTAGACTTACATACAGACAGTACATGTCACCAACAACATTTGGCAAACTGGGATGTGATGGGTGGGTCTTCCTCACATTCTGAAAGGAGTTGTTAGGGCTGGGTGGGTGGGGATGATGTTGGTATGGTTTTCTTTCTCTTTCTTCATTATGTACACGCTGACACTTGGACAGCCACAACTTTTTATCTCACCTCCGCAAACACTCTGCACAAATAAGAGAGCAAATAACAGAAAGAGGGTTAAGAGTTGTTTTTTTTCTGAAAGATGCACACAAACTCACACAAACAAACAGACAAACTCACCTTCACACATAAGACCTGGACTTCTGCAGCTCCCTTAAAGGCACTGGGGAATAAAAGCAAACAGAGGGTTTAATGGGGTCATGAGTTGTTCATAATCACCTTCAGCCAGGTATGCTCTGGGAGGAAGTGTGTGTTGATTTGTTCCAGGTTTCGATTGTGTGTGTGTGTGTGTGTGTGTGTGTGTGTGTGTGTGTGTGTGTGTGTGTGTGTGTGTGTGTGTGTTTTTGTGTATTTTCCATCGCAGATTATCTGGCTTGGTTTCTGCCCTCTTAGCCCATTCTCACGTCTTCTCTTGGCCTGTTGACTCAGGGTAATGCGAAGAGTTTGGCTGTGTGTCAGATCATCTGGAGTCCTTTTTAGAAGTTGTGGAGTGCCGCGCTGACATCACCCTCTCCAGCACACACCGCCCAAAGGCGCTCCCTGCTTAATCCCTCGTTTTCCCCATGAGAGGCCCTCCCATGTATGGCTATGCCTCACAGGACCGCTTGTCGAATCTCTAAAAAAACTCACCAGTGTCATCTATATAGACTCAGTTGACACTTGATGTGAAAATAAGCCTTCGGTTATCTGATTGAAAGTGGATAGCTGTGAATACAGGTGTGAATGCATCCGAGCACTTCCATTATAAATTAAGATGTGATCACCGGAGCCACATCAGGGGGGTGTTCAGGCAGGCATGTGACCCTGTCTGAGGTATGGTGTGAACACACGTGTCCCTGACTGCACTGAAGGTCAATTACTGTAGTGTGCATGTAGCACAGAGATTACATCCATTTGATTTGCTAACGTCAATCAACTCAGTGATGATATTAAAGCCTCATATTCAATTTTGAGTTCCAAAATCACAATAACAAATTTACCTCCATACTTAGAAGTGGAAATGTGTTCACAAATGGTTACTCCTGATGTTTGTTAAACAGCTGTGTGAACTATAACTGATGTGGACGAAACATAAACACAATTTAGGTTTACAGTAAACATAGCAGTGTGTTTTTCAAACAGTAAGATCAAATACAACATTTTCCACCCCCCACATCACACTCTTCGCAACCCGGCTCAGTGCTTCCTTTTCAATGTAGTCAAGGGTTTTTATAGCCAACCGCGCACGTGTCACATCAGTTTCCAAGAAGTCCGCTGGTTGAAACTCGGCCATGTTTCAAATTTACCCAAAAATTAGAACACAGTAAGGTCGTAAATAGAAGAAGGAACAAATCACGACACAAATGCAGTCTACTGACCTGCACAAAATACCCGCATCCGAACTCGGATAAGCAACAAGTATGAGTCAATCCTGTGTACATCTGCTCCTGCTGTAAAATACTCACTTTTATTGTGGAAAAAAACTTCTGTTTAAATAACATTTGCTGGAAAAAACTAGAGCTCTGCTGTTTAAGCTGATATACTTTTTGGAAATAAATGTGTTTAAAATGAAACGTTAAATGTGCTGAACTATATCTGATAACACACATGGTGTGGTTGAGTTTATTTGAGTCGGGTGAGAGAATGTAAAGAGAACAGGGCTCCGATAGCGGACCTGCCTACTTTGGTGTTCTCTGCCAAAGGCCCATCGAGCTCCATGGTGCCAGCTGTGAGCACAGGTCCCACTAGAGGACTTTGGGCCCTCCTGCCGCCCTCATCGAGTCTGTTTTCTGACAGTTTGGTCAGAAACACGCACACCAGTAGGCTGCTGGAGGTCCAGTAGTAGCATGAAACTAGAGAAAACTGTTCCCTCTTTGGGGGTTGTCTTGCTTTGCCTCTCCATTGCACCGGTTATAATTTGCAAAAAAAGCTTGAGAAACTGATTCACAATCAGGTGTGCTTCCCAAATGGACAGTTTGAGATCCCTGAAGTTAAACTGACTTGGTGTTATAGTGTGAGGATTAAGTGTTCCTTTAATTTTTCGGAGCAGGGAAAATTGTGATTGACTGATGGCTCAAACGTTCTTACTGTACATCCAGTTTGTTTCGTGATAATGTTTCACCGTGCCATAAAAAGAAACAGTGGTATGTCCTTTACAGTATGATAAAACCATTATCCTTCTCTCATTCAATTTAACAACCTTCAACTATCCTGTGCATCCTTTTACCAATGGGTTCAGTCTTCTGGCTTATCTTTAGTCATTTCTTTCGATTTCCACCCTCTCTCACCTCGTCATATTTTTAAAGTCTCCCAACGCTCCCTGAAAGGCTACACCACTGGAGAATTTGAAAAAGGCCAAACATTAGCATTGCTGTAAGGGTATAAATAGAAATGCTTAAGCTGTAAAAACATCAAATTTGGTATTCCTGTTTGACTGATATTAATCTTTGCCACGTTATCACATCCAAAAGCAGGGCTTACACTGTACAAGACGCACTGAGGAGGAGGCTGCGTGAGAGGTGAAGGAGAGGAGCGGGCAAGAAGAAGAAGATATACTTTATTAATCCCGCGAGGGGAAATTCAATCTTACACTCTGTTAATGAACATGCTCAACACACATAGGCTGAAATACACACACATGCACAAACAGGATCTGTCTTGAAGTCCAACATAATGTTAGCTGTATGTGTGAAAGCAGTATATGAGCAGTGTTAAATGTTAAAGGGGGTTTTAACACTTGATTGAAGGATATTTATTTGAATGTAGTGATCAAATGTGTTTGTAAAATGCTTGGGAACAAAGCGTAGTTAACTATCTGGACATTTCATTCTGATCCTTACCTCTGGAGTTTTGGGTGTTGGTTTATTTCCCCTTCTCTGAAATAATAATCTCTGTTGGGAGAGGAAAATAGATGTTAATTCATGTTTTTTTTTTTTTTTTTTTAGATTGATAAAGGTTCTGGTGCCTTAATAAATTTACAATGTTGGCTAAAGAGTTAGCTTAGATAGAGAGTTAGTCTAGATTACCACAAAGATTTTAAACAGCTTGCACCTCACTAACTACCAGCTGCTACTTACAGCTTTATATTAAGTATTAAGCAAAGAATAACATACATCATTTATTTCTACAGCTTGCAGCAAAGTAAATCAGTACATTCATTACAGATTTTTTTAATAGAAACTGGGAATTTAACATGAATCTGTGGATACATACGTTTGACCTCCAGCTTGCAGGACACAGTGGCTTCCCCCTGGGCATTCTTGGCTCTGCAGGTGTAAATACCTCCATCAAAGCTGCAGGGCTTTCGGATCTCCAGGGAGCAAATGCCCTGGTTAGAGAGTTTACGGAACTTGGGGTCGTCACCGATGACCATCTGATTCTTCAACCACTCAATCTTGGGCTGAGGGGGAGGAGAAGAGGGGACATTTAAAAAAAAAAAAAAACATTCATGGAACTATAAACCTTGAGATAGATACCTCCAATGATGTCATGATTCTGAAAGAAATGACGAAATGAGATGTGATTTAAAGGTAGCAATTCATTTGGATTTAGAAGATTTAAAAGCAAGACAGAACTGAGAGACACCCAAGCATGCAGACAGACAGGCAGGCAGAGTGAGAGCACAGTGTGAAGGGTCATCACAGGATTTCAACTTTTTTAACCCCGGCAGCTGTACCAATGAATACATTTACATGCACACTGACTTTTTACTTCTAAATATGAAAATGTTACCAACCTGATGGGGATCTTTATAAATCAGTTAAAATTAACAAATAAAGTTAATATTAAAAACATGACTGAACTCCATTAATAAACCAGCTACAATAACCATGATGGCATGCGTGTCAATTTTAGGAAGCAGAACACGGACATGATATCATGAAGGATATCATGAATAAGGCCTAATATACAGTATAATGCATGACATTTTTCTGTTGAGGTGTGTGCAATATGCCGATAAATAAAGAGCATTTTGGAGCATTCTGACATGTTTACAGAACATTCAGAGTATATTTTCACAGTTGGGTTTTTACAGTAGTTTGCTTCACACAGCCTCTGGCCTGTTTAAGTTTAGTTCTGACGCATTAAACAAACAAAGTAGCCATCAGTGAGCAAGGCTAGGATCCATCCGATTAAGCATAGATGCATGTTAAAGGGGATATGACTGGAATATTTATTTTCTTTAACCTTGTAACCTGCAGAGAAGGAATGTCTTTTTTTTAAGTGCCCAAACTCTGGAATATATATATATATATATAATATATATCATCGTCACTTTACCGCCACAGTTTGAGTCCAACAAGAAAGAAAAAAACATGATATCTACTGTTTCTCCGTCATCGCTGACTGGCAGTGGCCATTGTGTCTTCGAAAGCTAAGGCTGATGCCAAGCTATGCTGGACGTGTGCGAAAATGGAAGGGGTCGAAGGAGCAATATGTAACTCTGACACATAGAGTTTGAAATTGGAACTGCAGTCCAAATTCAAAACATTAGAGAGAGCTGCTCCCCCCCCCCTCCTCCAACATAAAGGTGATGTGCATGCAGGTTGTCATGTCGCAATGGTCTAACCTCCCTCCATTTTTTAAAAACATCTCCAATATTTATCCTAGTTTTACCACGCTTCTGCTCATGAAGCTCAGCTTACTTAGTGTCCGATGATAGCGTAGGGTTATTTCAGGATTTAATTCAGTAAATATCGTACATATTGGTCCTTTAAGAGTAAACAACAGAGAGATAATCAGATCCTGCTTTTGCTTTAATATCAAAATATAAGCTCAGTTTGAGCTGTTTTGACATGATTTTTTTCACACCCCTTATATTAGTAAAGTAAAAGTGAAACATGCAAAATTGAATGATACATCAGCAGCTGGTATTTCAACAGAAGTAAATCACTAGACTTTAAACAGTATGTAATTCTTGAGCTGCTCTCTCTAAATAAATATCTATAGATCCTTAGCACATTCATTTCTTGAACCACAATTTACATCCTCATAGTTCAGTGTGCTTCCTAAGTTGAAGAAATGGCTAGAAATTAAAAAGGTACACGTCCATTTCAAAACAAGTGATACAAATATTTGCTATCTGGTCAAATTTGGCATGTGTTCTTTTACAATCTGAACCTTTCAGGAGGCAGACTCAGCATATTCTCAGACGGTGTCTGCTGAGCGTGACAGTTTGGTCAAATGAGAGTAACTTAAGTGTTTTGCCTGACCTCATCAGGTATGTGCTATTCAGAGTCAGTGGCACTCTCTCTGGATTTCTGAGGGTCCAGCTTCATGCAGTGTGACTCTGGTTATTGGATTTCACCTCAGCTGATGCATTTCAGCACAAATTGTTACAATTCTCCAGCACTCGTGTGTAAGACCAATTTAGTTCTGAGTTGCTACTTAAGATTTAAAAATAGATTTTTTTTTATGAGGGTCAGAAATTTGAGTTATTTACTAATAATATCATAAGTGTAAACTGGTTATTAAGATGGACAGATTAACAGGATGATTTTTATATTCAAATGTAACTTTTTTTGTTGCATTTTTTAATTAAACTTAAACTAAAATAAATTAAAACTCATCCATTGCATCCTCTCCCACCCATTGCCCTCTCAAATAGACAAGACGGAATTGAGGGACAGGTTTCAGTCTTGGCAGTGGACCAGTTCTTGTGTATTTGAGCCTTTGGCTGGGAAAATGTTGCTGCTGATGTTAATGATGTTGTTGTAAACTGACACCGGTTAGAAGACTGAAGATGCTGCTTGGTGCTGTTTTTCTTAGTAGACATGCAGATATCAAATGAGTATGAAAGTTTGGACTGGTGCATCGAAGCAATGAGGATTTATAGATGAAGTATTTGGACTGAATGCATTATTTCTTGAAGGCAATGTTGGTCTGTAATTTGTTTTTCTTCCCAGAAAGAAAAATCAGATAAAAAACCTCAACCCCAAGATGGATCTCCATAAAACTAAGTACCCACATTTACAGTCCACAGGTGATGAATCTTAATGACCTGAGTAATCATCATATTATTCGGAGCTGTGAAAAGTAATTTTCCAAACGCCTGTTGATATAAAAGCAGAAGAATGTATTAAAACACAAGTGCACATAAGCACAAGGTTTGGTTGGTGAGTTTTACAGTCTAATTCTGCAAAAACTTTAAACATCTATCTTGTTAACTGTGGCATGACAGTGTGCAATATCTCAAAACATGGAAACACAAGAAGAGTGAATTTATGGAAAGGTTTCAATAGGCTTGCATAGGGATGCACAAAATGTACTTATTCTTGGCCATCAGATTGCAGCATGTTGCAGGAATCAAACAACTCTGTACCACACTTGGCCAAGACAGATAGAGAAACAAACAAACAGCCAGTTTCCTGTTAAAACCCCACAGTCCACAGTTAAACTGCAAAACAACCAAAAATGGAGATAAAGACAATGCAAATCAATCGACTTATTTTTGAATCCCCTTTCCTCCCTCATCTCCCATCACATTTCTGTCTCTGTCTCTCCTTCTGCGTGGATGCCGGTCACACTGATAAAAGTGCTGCACTCATGACAGGTGACAAAAATAGGACCTCCTGCGAAACAGCAACATCTCCACTTAGCCTTAACAGGATATCAGGCTATGCTTCTTATCTTTGTCTCTTTGTTGTCTCCCTGTTTATCGACTCTCTCTCCCTCACCTCTCCCTCTCAGCTCATCATGAAGTCTCTCTCCGCCTCTATAAATGACAACTCTTTATCAGAGTCAGCAGGACAACTAATCACACTGAATGCCTTTCTGCTGGACATCCTCAGCAGGTCCCAATGGGCTCTGGACTCTTAGAGAGATGGGAGAAAGCAGCCTGATAAATGTACTGTAGCACACATACTAACTGGGTGTGACATTATAAGTGTAAAAAAAAGTAAGAAAGAGGGAGGGGATTATGGAGCCAAAGTGAGAAAAATATCAACCATGTATTCATTAATTTAATTTAATTGTTGGTATCTGTCATTATGTAACGATGTGGTTTAAAGTGATGTGATAAGGACCAAAGGAGGTGAAAGCTGACACTGAGGGATTAACCTTCACATGTATGGGGGTCAAACATGAGTAAACATTCAGAGTATGAGGGTTTCCAGTATGAAAGGTGTCCAATGCCTCTCTTTCCATGGTCCCCTGCAGATAATCAGCGGGTATGTTTTCGCACAGCTGTTGTGGGTACACAGCAGCTGAAGATTGGCTGAACTGGTAGCAGAACTCTAGCATGCTGGTCTTCAGGCACCAACGTCTTGTTTTGACACGTTCAGTGAATGTTTTATGATTCTAAATCTAAACTCAAGGCGTGAATCAGCAATTGGAAACTTTTGTCAAAAGCAGGAAACAATTTGATGAATCTTAGTGCTTACTTAGAGAGTCAAATTTGGGCTCTTCTGGGACAATAAAGCACGATGAGGGCAGCCTGAGCCGCAATCTGTTTCTTTTTGATTTGTCTCAGCTACACCAGCGTGTACACACTGACCAAGCTGGCCTTGACTTCTCTTACCAAGGACAGCTAATCATCTGCATTTACACCATTGCGTCAGCCAGACAACTGTAAAGATATGTTTAACCAGAGCAGCGGTCGCCAAGAAAAAGTGAGAGACATTCTGAAACTTCACACAGACATGCCAATGTAAGCCCTGCTCCAGCTGTTGTACAGGGGATCTTTACAGTGGTGACACTGATACTCCATCTGAAGCGGTAAACTGCACACTCAGATGATTTATCTAAGGGTTCCAATAAGAGATGTTTAAATATCCAATAACAAATGTTGGATCAAGAAGATAGACTTCCTCTTCCTACGATAAGAAACATATCCAAATGTTTCCTCAGTTTCCTCAGAACAACCAGTTGTTTGTTAAAACACAAGACACACTGAAGGATCATCTCTAACCTTTGGACTTCCACGAACAGAACACAGCAGTTTGGTTGTGTATCCCACGGTGGCAGCGCGGTCACTGAGAGAGGTGGTGAACTTGGGTGCCTCGCTGAAGTCGTGCTCAGGGTACTCAGGAGGCTTGTAGTTAATGCCTGTGCACAAATGGAACAGATATATTGTTTCACTGGTGAACACTTCCTGCTATTAAAACAAAATGTTGGCAGCAGCCATCATACCAACATGAGCTTGTTGGACATACTAACCTAAAACCATTGACATTCATATGGACAATATATGATGAAAATGACAGGCTTGTTATCCACTTTATAACTCCTCCCATAGTGGTTAAATGGAGTTAAGGTAAGGTTACCCAAGTTGGGCACAAAAGTTGGAGTTACCAACATTTCTAGAACTGCATCATGTATCAGTAAGAAAAACCTGTCACTTGATGTTTTAAAGGGTTTGTATTAAGCCATGCGCCTCACTCCAACCAGTAGCTCAGTTGCTGTTATAAACAGATCACTGTGTTTCAGTTAAGCCCAAGTGATACTGGATTTTTGAGGTCAAAACTTGGTGGGTGGGTGTTTTAATGCTCGATCCAAACTAGTTCAAACATTTAACTGTTCTAAACTTCATTGTGACAGAAGTAGCTGGTTGAGGAATTTTGAAAAGAGCAAGAAGTTCAAACCAATCTTGCTTTTCCACTGGCCAATCAGAGTGTGCAGTTGGAGTAAATGTCTGATGGTTGAGTTTGGAAATGTACAAAGTAGTCAGACGCAGACCTCAAACACTATCAGTATTATACAATCAGGATTGTGGGGGAGGAGTTTTCTGATGCTGTTCAACAATCCAAGTAGAGTATGGATGCAGCTTAATGTGCAGCACATCATTAATATAAGTTATGTCTGTTATTAGAGGAGATACCTATAAGGAGTAGGGCTGTCACATGACTAATTTTTTACTCATGATCACTGAATTTCAATAGTTAATCGCAATAAATCACATTTTTAATTAAATGTTTGAAATTCCATTATTTTGCATTTAACACGTTTTTGTTAGCCTTTTATTTTTAAATAAAGTAAGGAACTTCTGGTTCAAAGGTTACAATGTTAACTTAACCACATAAAAAAGGAACTCATTATGGATCGAAGAATCATTGAGCAATAAAACACTATTTAGTAGGGCTGTCAAATTATTTAAATTTCTAATCATGACTAATCAATGAATTCCAAATACTGTTAATCACATTTTAATCGCATGATTTGAAATTAAATTATTTTTGCATTTAAAAACGATTTTTTTAAGCCTTTCACTTTGAATTGTTCTACTGTCTTAAGACTGAAGGTACTTTACTTCTTGTTACAATGCAAACCTGCATTTATTCTGAAATTAACTGAGAAACTTCCTGTAGAACAAAGGTTATGACATTAACTATGGAAAAAGTCCATGTGTCTAGTATTTAGGTATATAAAATGTGTGAAAATCACAAAATGTTACTATTGTTGTGTTGCTATAACAATAATAGACTGAAAAATATTTTAGATCAGAGCAAACACAAAGCAACACATTAAGCACACTGGCTTACATAAACATTATTCCCTGCAAGGACACAGCTTCAGGTGAGTACAGTATAAACACATAAACAGTAAGAGCAGCATTTGCCCTGCCAGCTGTCTTAATATTGTTAGACCCTCTTAAAATGTATTTCAGCAGCAGCTGAGCACCGGCCAAGAGAGCTACCACTTGTGTTTTTAAAGCAGTGCCAGAGCCATTTCCACTCCTCAAGTGTTCACTTCAAACACACACATGCTAACGCTAACAAGACCCACACACTTACTGCAGCTCATTAAAGAGGACCCACTCGCCCCACTTGTACAACAGCCATGCCTTTAAACACCTCAGAGGAGTTAAGAAAAGAGTACAGAAGGTCACCTGTCTTCTGGATGGTGGCCACCGCCTTGGTGACAGCGCAGCGCTCACTCGTGCCCACCTTGTTCTCTGCAAACACTCTGAAGGAGTACGAGTTTCCCATGATGAGGTCTGAGACGGTAGCAGTGAGTCTGTGGTAGTGGTCCAGCACCGTGAACCACTCCTGTGGGAAGACACACACACACACACACACACACACACACAGTTTAACTCAACTCACTTAAGTGCTTCGGCACGGTACAGTTCATGCACGAGCACAAGCTTGGGTACACAAACGCGGACATCCTTCATTATCGATAAATAATAATAAGCGCTCTGGCTGTATCTGACTAAAATGACTTGAAATAAGCCACAAACTCAGTGAAGTAGCTGTCATGCTCTCTGTGTTTTTCTTCGTTGTGAGGACACAGACTCAACCGAGCGTGCCTTTTTTTTTTTTGAGTCTGTCTGTCTTGTAAACTAAGCACGCTTTATAATTACGTCAAGCCATGCATGTGTTGTATAACGACGTTATGTACACGAGGTAACCGTGCTCAGGCCTGGTTAGTCCTGGAGCAGTATGGTATGGGACAACATTGCCTAGTGTGAGCGCGCCCTCAGATCCATCCTTTAGCTTTATCTTTTTTGAATGCATTTTACTTTCCAAATCAGTTTTTATTTTCTCTTAACCATAGTGTGTAACAGAATGACTCGAGGAGATAGAAGGCTACATAATACTTCTGAACATTTTCAGTTCTCTCTTGCTGACTTACACCTCTGCCAGATCTCTTTCAAAACCACAAGGCACAACTTTTTAAAGATGTTTAGCTATTTGAAAGACTTTGAGGTCACTTTATCTTGTGATAAAGACTACTATATCCATATTGTTAGTAGGAGAAAGACGTTGGTTAAGAAGTTTAAAAATCAATTCCAAGTTTCATGTTTGTAAATTCATCCAAGTTCTGTAACAGATAAATGATCTCCATTGAGGGATTCTTAACTCCAATAAAGTATCTGAAAGTGTGCAAGACAGGTCTGATCTGATATACACCTTTGGCTAATGTTACATAGTGCTATCAGTACAAAGAGCCACTAATTAAAAACCTGTGTTTAGAAGTATTACAGCTCATTAACACTTCATAATCTTACCATGAATGGACACATTCAATATTCTGACAACACATTGGCAGGATGTATATGTATGTAGAAAATGTAGCATACCCCTGTCTTCCTGTCTGCCTTCTGCACGGTGTATCCTGTGATCTCTGTGTTGCCGTTATCTTTGGGTGGGGTCCATTCCAGGGCAGCGTTGAAGCCCCAGCTGTCCACCAGCTTCACGCTGGTTGGAGGGCCGGGCAGTTCTGAGGAAGCGCATCACTTTCTTTAATTATAAAGGGTTGAATTCATAACCAGTGTGATCATCAAAGCTAAAATATATATATAAATATATGTTGGGCAGCACATCTTCACAGCAGCAGCTGACAACTGGGCCACAAACTCCGGGGTCAAAGATCATCATTGTTAAGGATGTGATCAAGTCACTAATGTTAGATCCAACAAGGGCAAATAAAAGTAAACATTACGCACGTGTGACTCACCCACAATCTGAATCGTGAGGGGGCTTTGTCTTCAAAGCTTTCCACTTTCACGGACATCTCGTAAACACCGGAGTCGTCCCTCTGAGAAGTGCGAATGAACATGATGCTGTCCTTGTCACTGTTCCTGATGTTGACCCTCTTTGTGTCCAGAGGCTGACCATCCTTCAGCCAGGACACCACAGGTTTGGGCTTTCCCTGACGTATGGGAAAAAGAGGGAAAGTAATGTCTGCAGAAAAAAATAAAAATTCTATAGTGCTTTGATGTTGGCTTAACCAATCGTGTGTGTATGTGCTTACAAGGAAGGGGATGACCAAGTTGATCTGCTCTCCAACCTGCCTCACAACTCGCACTCTGAGGTTGCGGGGCATTTTGATCTTGGGACGATCTGAAAACCAGTAGCAAAACCAAACTTGTTTTACTCTCTGTTGTTGGGTTTTCTATTTCAATGAGTTGCTCTTTTGCATTGCTTGGATACCTAACTAGCAATTCAAGCTACCAATGCACGGTGTACAAATTGTTCAAAGAACACTTCCAGTATGTGGTCATGTTCGCTCTACACGTCAGCTCAACGAGACCTAAATAGAGCAGAGACAAGGCTGACCAGACAGCATGACCGAATGAGCTAAAATTAACCACTAACTTAGTCCAAACTGTCCAATGATCCAAGTCATCCACAACAAAAAATATGTCTTCACAAATTTCATAGTGAACTTATTGGTATATACTTTAAAAAATGCTAAATATGAATGGGCACGCGCAGAGAGAAGGAGATAGGAACTCTATGTGAAGATATTTTATATGTGAGAGAGGAAAAGAAGTCCAGTATCTGGGTAGAGACAGTCAAAGAGGAAGACCCTGTGTCCAGCAGCTCTTAAAAATAGCTTTGGTGATGAGACACTTGGACATAAACCAACACGTGTTCACTCCGCGTCAGGCACAAAGAAGCAGCGGGAGAATGTCATCACGTTCAACGGCGGCTGCAGTCTAACATCACAACTCGAAACACTCGAGACCAAAAACTATAGACACCCAAATCTACAGCGATAACTGCTGTGAATAAAATGAAATGGATTTATTTAGCTGTGGTTAGGACTTTATGAGCCATCTTCTGAGCTGCTGCCTGTGTTTGGCCAGGGTGCTAAGTATCAGGAACGGCATCTCTAGCATGTTTGTGCATAAGTAGCAGATGTCTGAAAAGCTCTGTGGGCTTACAGGAAATCTGAAACAACCAAGCTGATACCCCCCATTCACCCTGCAGATGCCCCTGCATCTCCACGTCCAATCGAAATCATTCTTCTTGTTCTTCTTTTTTGGAGCAGTCACAATTTCTCTGTCTGTTGTTCCCAATTTAACCTGAATTCTTGCCCACACTTTGTATTCCAACAATTGTCCCCATAACACCACTGCTCATTGTGATATCCAACCACTGTCAGGTTCATTCCCCCATCCAGATTTGGCTCAAACACTAATCCCTGCTAATCAGCACACTTCCCAGCAATGCCTGGATGTGTTCCTAACATTACAGCATCCAGCAGCGAGCGAGTCATCCTGCAAACCATCCATAACCTCGCTTTGTCTCTGGATAAAGTGTCTTTGTGGGGGGCTTTCAGCATATCTAGGACAGTGTGTCTTTATCAGAAGCCTGAGTGTGTAGATGGGTGCCTGGTCAGGACACACAGCTGAATTTACCCCCAACAAGCCACCCAGAATCTATTAATTAGGCTCGGGTTTCTCTTCCTCCATTCAAGCATCAGCTCTAATTGCATAACTCACATTTCTCGACTAAAGTTTCCTGTTTGTCCGAAGCAGTTTGAACTCCGACCAGGATATGCGCTCAGAGACGTAAGCTGTCCTGAAAGTGGATAACTGGGGCACGTCAGCTCAGGTCAACACCTCATCAATGTGACTCAACGCGAGGGCTGATGGAAATTCACAGCTCCAATAAGGAAACAAACACATCTAAGAAAGAAGGACCTGAAAGTGTGACACATTTTATTGGTTGTTCTGGATATTCATCTACGACAAAAAAATATCTATCAAGTTCTGTCTGTTTGCAAGAACAATCATCATATTTTTCTTGTTTACTCCTTTTCTGATTCCCATAGTTCCTGATTTAGACGATCACTTCACCATTTTGTTGTTGCTATTTGGGTACATTTGGGTAATACAAGTGTATACAGAGAAAATGTACCCTGATAACACACTTTTCTGTAGCTTTTTTTTATAAAAGTCAATCGTTTTGCATAAAAGTTATGAAAATGAAAGAAATGACAGGGCATATATGCTGAAGTTTAGCTTGGTAACATGCTTACGTTAGCTAATCAACACTAAACATGACGAATAGCTGATGCTGATGTGATACGGCATTAGTTTTTATCAGATATTCACTGAGTGAAACCTCCTCAATGTGGTGGACTCAACATGTAAACCAAACTTCTGGGTGATCCATTCAATAGAGTGATATCAGACCAGGCCCAAGTGATTTACAACACTTTATGACTCGTTAGCTATACAAAGTGTTTTTCTCTTGCGTCAAACAAAACAGCTAGAGAGAGACACTGTCATAAACTGAAGAGAGAAAGTGACACTGAGGTCACACTCGCAGTGCTGCAGTCATTTAAAAATGGCAGGCAGATGGTTCGTTAGCCAAACATTTTCCTTTGGGCTGACTCAGACTTCCATTAAATCATCTTGAAGACTGAAGACTTTTAGAGGCGGACTGTGACCCTCTGCAGCACTGATGTTTAAAGTATGTAGTCCAGCAGGATCCTGTATACTGCAGGAACAGTTCTTTTTATGTCTGTGTATTTCTACTGTTGTATCAGGTAATTAATAGCTACATAAATGTATTACTTTATATATCAGATTTCTATTCATCCTTTTTCCAATTTTCATTTGATTTCAATGATTCAATGCTCTTTTAATTATTGTCTAAAGGTATATATCATTTTATATTTGTGAAGCACTTTTAAAATGATTGATTTTGATGAGAAATCAGTGAAAAATATTTATTATGATGACGTATTCATTTTTTGTTGTTAGCTTCAAACATTGCGTGGTCCTTAAGGCTGCAACCAGGAAGTCACAAAGGTCCATAGATCTTTCTTTCCCATGCAAGTCTTTATATTGAGAGCAACTAATCATCTTATATCCTAATTTGTCAAGCTTTCAGTAACGTCTGAAGATGTGTTAGTGAAAGAAAGATTTACAGCCAATGAAAGGTCTTGTCAGCACCTGTGAGATTTATGTGCACACATCTGTGCAGTCCATCTGAGCCCACTGCAGTTAATAACTCCAGGGTTGCAACATGAGTATTTTAAGGAAAGGTCACGAGTTACAGCCACCTCCTGATAAAGAGGTTGGAGACAAGGACATTTAGAAAGCTGTCTTAACACTGCTGAAACTGTCTTCTGAGTGAAGTTTTGTTTGAGGCTAGAGAACTGTTGAAGACACCTTTGAGGTTAATAAAAATGAATAGTAGGAAAGATTGCAAACAGTATACTAAAGCACAGCCCCGCATATAAACATTATCATAGCATCTTTGATTTCTATCTAAGAGCTGTTAAGTATATAGTTACAAGGTTTGTCTAAATGCAAGCTCAAACAATTCAGTTTGGGCTGTTTGGACTTCCCTCTTTAGGCACACAGGTGTAAGTGGTCTGTGGAACCGACTTTAGCTGTGACTCACCAACAACCTCGCGGATTGGCACTGGCGCCGCGAGTGTAGCAGGCTCACTGCGGCCACCCGGGTTCACAGCCACCACGCGCACATTCAGCAGGTCGCCGGCCGTCAGATTCTTGATGCAGTAGCGGTTAACCGGGGTGAGCTCCTCCTGAGCAACAACCCAGTCTGTAGCTGTAGGAAAAATCCAGAGTTAGTGTTAGCACATAGATTTTAAAGCAATTTGAATTTAGACTTTACTTATCATGATAGCTCAGACTGCAACTTACTTTTTGTATGACTCTTTTATTATATACTTGCATAACTCCTGAGACGTGTAAAACATCCCTTTATGGGATATGTTTAGTGGTTTATCGCCTGTCGACACAAGTTTACAAACAACCTGCCCATAAGGAGTCAACTTTGGCCGTCACCGTGAAACCTCAGAAGGCCCGCTGTCATCTGGGCAAACGAGCCCTTCTAAAAGTGGTGTCAGAAGATACAGTGACAACTGATGAAATGCAGCCTGCCGTATACGGTCTGGACCCAGCTATGAGTCTATCTGCCCTCTGACACTCTGGGGACAGGTGCAGCCTCTCTCTATCTCACGCACACACACACAAGTTCACACACACAGACTCACTTCCGTCCTTGCAGTACTCAATGGTGAATCCATCCAGACCGGAGTCTCCGATGGTCTCTGGGGTCTTCCATTTAATAGTGAGGCTGGAGTCGTTCACGTCTTCCACAGAGACGTCCAGAGGAGCGCTGGTGGGGACTGAAGTGAGATTCAGGTGGGTTAATAAACACCAGACAACAGTACGATGAGCTGAAAGGACACTGTAAAATTCACAAAACATTGAGAAGCCTTCATAGTCCCCGTTTTTTAACATGATAACATATGCAACTGAGGATTTGTTCCATTATCAATTCATTTGAAGTTGGTTGTCTTCATCCCAGATTTATCATTTTAAAATAGTAAAACATTTCCATCACATTATACTTAGGCGTAACTAAACATCTTCAAGTGTCTCACACTGTTTCAGTAAAGGCCATGAACACCAAAATAACCATAAAGAACTGCAAAATCCAAAAGGCAACTGGACTTGCTTGAAATCCTTGAAGATGTTTTGCCCCTTATCCAATGATCCAAAGTATATTTCCTATGACACAGAAGAGCTGTTAATTACCAAAGTGTATATTCTAGAGTCTGAATTTTTACTTGAAACAATAAAAATAACATTGGTCAGGTGATCAAAATAAGCATAGATTATTCTCTCTTCATTATTCTGTTTATGGTTGCAGTCATTTTGTCAGATTACTTAAATACGATTCTGTATCCATTTCAACAAAAAGTCATCACCTCAAGGAGAGTTTCATCAAACAGGCTTTTAACCACAGAGCAGAATACATCTGCAGCTGTTTGATATTCAAAAAATGCTTATTACAGATGTTTCTCAGAAGAAATGTTGGGAAGTATTTGCTGCTTCCAGCTTTGGAAAAGTAAACATGGGAGTTACCTGCAGGAGGCGGGGGCGTGGGGGCCTTTGGCGGCTCCTCAACTACAGCTGGTTCAGCTGGAGCGGCTAGCATCAAACAAGCAGGACATTAATGTCACTTTCAGAAACAAACACCAGCAATGAGGACTTGGTAAATAAATATCCAAAACTTCTTTTCCATATAGTTTCAATCTGATGATCCCTGTGGAAGTTGAAAGTCCTCACAGCTGGTGGAAAAGCACGTTGGATAGCACCTGTCTTGCATATGAGATTTTTTTAATGAAGCAGGTAACATTGCTTGCTGTGTGTTTTTGCAGTAATGTTGTTTACTGTTGTGGTGGTTTATGTTTACCGTCTGCTGGAGCATCTGCAGTATCTGCAGCCGGAGCAGCAGCACCGTCTTCAGCAGCGGGAGCATCAGCAGCGGGAGCATCAGCAGCGGGAGCATCAGCTAGCGTTAAAATGCCATTAGGAAAGCCAATGAGTGTTTTACATTAAAATATGAATCATGCAGATTAATCAATCAGTTTCAAGATAATTTGATCAAGAAACACTCCACAAAAGCCAGCAGCAGGAAAGAGCGGAGGGACACAGCTTTTGTAACCACAGAGACAACAAATGGATGGCTTCATGACACAAAGACAGACCAGTGAAGACATTTTGAAGACACTGTAAAACTTGCACAAGGCTGAACACCAACACATGTCAAACAAAGAGAAGCATTGTGGTCCAATAAAAAAAGACACCGGGATCAAAAATCAAAAAACTACATGTGGTAAATGCAGAAAAATACATAAATACATGGATCAAGAGGAAGAAACACAACACAGCTTGTGTTATGCACAGTGGGACACAAATACACATATCATGCTCTGCAAACTGGACGCCTGTGGTGTGTGTTTACCCTCAGCAGGAGCTGTCGAATCCAATCCCTCTTGGACGGTCTCATCAGCTAAAGTTAGGGGTTACATGTTAGCAGTCACTCAAATAAATCCACCAGTGATGTACTTCACCATCCAAGATGTGGTGAACACAATCTTAAACAACTGTTCTAATTCATGTAGATTGAGAGCAAGAGGAGATGTGACCATCTGTTTACCAGGCCTTGGTTGGTAACGTAGAAATCACTGGTGGGTCCAGTAATTTAACCATCATGTTAATCCCATGCAAGTTGTTCTGCTTCTTTTTAAATCACTTTTCTACTTGAAACGTTTTGCGGGACGTCCGCATTACAACTTTTTTTGTAAATGTTGTGAAATTTACATCCAGAAAAAGTAATCCATAACATCCGGATTAACCATGAGAAGCAGAAGAATGAGATATTAGATACATGTTAGCAGAAGATTGTAAAAATAAAAACTATACACTCAGGTCAATTTTATCCCACCAAAATTGCAAAAAATAGCCTGATCCACAGAAGTCCAGTATTAAGAGTCCACTCACACTCTTAACTAAATATTGAACTTTAAAATGCAAAACAGCAATTTCAACTGTGTGGTTTAAAACAGGATTGGGATGACAGCTGCTGCAGCTGTTTTAATACTTTCCTTGGCTAGTCTTCCTACCGAGTCTCATTTATTTTAACACAACATAACCATATCATTTGCTGGGTCATAGAGGCCTTAAATCATATGATATATTAATTCAAGATAACTTGTAATAAATTGACTGGGTGGGCTACATGCAAAGGAAAAGTGAAAAGATGAAGATTGGTTAAATGTTGATCAAATGTTCACATAATTAGTAAAGGATGACTCTGTGGTGGTATATCACTGTATTGTAATTCTCAGATATTGTGTGTTATTTAACTAATATGAACAGTATGGGAAAAGTACAGTCAGTATTGTGCAGTGCAGTTCAGCATCACCACCACAAACCACAAGGTCCAAAAATGGCTATTTAGTGCAATCAGCACCACTTTTAAATCTCGCGGGACTGTGTGTTAGTTTAAGCTTGGTGTATCTATTAAATAAATAAATCCATCATTCTGGTAACTTGTAAACGCAGTCATGTTTTCTCCGAGTCAGTAACCCCTCACACAGCTATCTTATGTTTCTCTACTCCCTGTGGTACCTGGAGGAGCAGCGGGGGCGTCCTCTGCCGGGGCTACGGGGGCACCATCTCCCTCAGCTGCAGGAGGTGCCGCGGCCGGAGCCTCTTCGGCAGGAGCTGCAGCCTCCGCAGGTGGAGCCTCCGCAGGTGGAGCCTCTACAGGAGCTGGTTCAGGCTCCGGGGCGGGCGCAGGTGCCTTCTCGGCAGCCTTCTTGGCTGGGGACTTCTTGATGGGCGCAGGTTTGCTCGGCATCGTGCTGACAGACGGCCAGTTCTCTGGATGAAGGAGCCAAGAGGGTCTTAGGTAATATATATAGCGAGGGGATGGAGGGGGGGGGGGTTTGTCAACAACTCCACCCATGTACTGATGATACTCCTTGACCAACCCGCTTAAGACCCAGCAGCATATTTTAGAAACTTTAACCTGCTACGTTGGTTAAATAACAAAAAAAACGCTACAATTTGTAAACAGTTATTTCAACAGCAACTCAACCTTCACATAAGTTGTATTTAATACAATTTCTTTATGAATAAAAGCACACACAAAAAAAATGCAGATACAATGGTTACACAGCCTAATAAATGCGTATAAACCCAAGCATTAGCGCCCTCTAGTGGATAACAATTATTTTAACAGAGAGCCGAGACAGGTAGTGGAGTGAAGAATGGCATGACTTTATTGTGTCCTTAGCTCAATGTTAGACATATGGGATTTAATGTGGTTACAGAGACATGCCATAAATCCTTTCTTAGGCCTCCTCCTAAGCCAAGTGCTCCTTCCTACGAGAGGAAGACAATAAATCCACGGAGGATACCTGTTTTCCGCATACAGGTACTGTACAACGCCTTCTCTCAGATCTAGATATAGACATGTTTAATGATTGTTGTCGCAGATGCAGTGACTATTTACAATGTTTACAATAGTGATGTCATGTACAAAAGAGAAAAAGAACCTTTACAAATATTTGCATAAGAAAAACAAAAACAAAATTCTGCTCTTAAAAATGAATAAGAGGAAGATATCCAGTTATTAAAAAATCCCTCCCATGATAAGGTTAAGTGTGGTAGGTCCAATGAAACATAACTTTGGGAAACACATTAAGGATACCTGCATTAACATCACATCTGCTTCCAACTCTGTGAACTGCTCAAAAATATGACATGTCTTACACACTTCAGTTTAAAAATGGTAACAAACCGTTCAGAGGCAGCCCACATTCTTATCTACACAAACATCACCTGAGCTAACAGCTCATCACCAGAGGTCACAATTAAAAACCCACTTTCCTACTCAATCTGGGCATCAAAGTGCGGACATTAAAGTGACATCAGAGTAGGTGAGAGGAAGTGATGATGTTTCCTCTAAATGGAGGCCTCAATGTGGTACATTAAAGCAGCTCAAAGCAGGCCAAATTGTGTTTCAGGCACAGTAACAAGTAGGCATCATGTCTCTACTTTACACCAGCACCCTGTTTGGAAAAGTATGGCAGTCTGAGGTACTTCAGGGTGAAGGGGTCAGGGCTGAGAGGTTTCAGAATATCTCGACTACATCATGTCTTTTTTTAAGCCTTCTCCTTCATTCAAAGAACAGTCAAAGATATGAGCAATAAATACTCTCTGTCATCTAGTACTCTAACATATATTATGTGCAAACAAATGAAAGGAAGGAACATGAGGAAGCCACTTAAAGATGAGTTTCAACCTTCCATACCCCCAGCCCTTACTCTGACAGTAACTTTGAAAAGAGTGAGGAGGAAAACAAGACCTACACTGTAAGAAATGTTATCAAAGATATCAAAAGCAAATGCAATGAGGAGATAAATGGGTGTCTTTTTTTTACGGTTTTTCTCCTAGCGAAGTTTTCCACTTTCTCTTTTTGATTAGATGAGTGTGAAATGATTGAAACAGTGACGACACATCTAAAACTCCTGTTGATGATGTTAAGTATTCTATAGGCGGTAGTTGATGTGTACAGACGATATTTGATGGTGACTCAGTATAAAATTCTACAAAATCAAGATTTTCAAAGCTGCGTCTTTATCTATCACAAAGAATTATGTGTGTTGAAACCGATATCTAATACACACAAGCATAGCCAGAAATGGTCAGCCGGTTTTGGCAGACTGGATTAACAAGCATTATTGTTTTCCTGTGTGTTGACTTACTGTAGGAGTATTTATTAGTGACTACTGAGTCCATTTATTTTCTTCACAGTCTGATCCTAACACTGATTCCATTCATTTTTTTTTACCCATGCATGTTTGCTCTTGCAGCTTTGAAATCTGACCCACGGTTGACACAATGGCTGAACTGCAAAGAAAGAAAACAAACATTCAAGGCCATTTTCATGGTTGTGATGCCAAATGTGTGTTATATATTGCCTACTGAGCACCTTTGATAGTCAGATATAGCACAGCAGGAGAGGCAGGAAAAGCAAGATGCTGCCTCCTAGTGGAGGTTCTGATGAACTGCACGATTTGACCAAACTGCTCATCCCCCTGTTTGATACACACTCACTGACACAGCCCTCTTAAATCCAATGACCATGAGTAAAAAATAAAGTGCATTTTTGGCTGTTTGTCGAGTGATGGTCCCACTTCTGAGGAATTACTTTTGAAACAGAGCATGCACCTTACAAAGAAACACCAGTAAAGTAAGCACCAGAAGTTGTTTGGGAAAGTTTTGGCCAAGAATAAAAAGAACATTAAGAAGGGGAAAGAACGGGTCAGGATCAACAGGATTATATGTAATATTTTGCATCATACAATTTAGGTCACCATGCACTTGCAGATTGAACAACAACCCATCTGCAGAATAAAGAGAGCAGAGAAATCTTCCCCTGGCGTGATCATCACAGCTTCCTATGAAAGCACTTAATTTATCTTCTCAAAGTCCCGATAGCAGGGCAGAGAAAACCCCTTGTCCATAATCTCTCTGCAGATCCTTTACACTTAGCTTTGCTGCTCACTGAGCACACAGTAGAGTTAACTATCAAGTCTTTCAAGTCTCTTTGGGACCGCACCAGCTGTGTAGGCTTTTATCAAGAGTTCATAGTTCCATAGCTTGACTGACAGTTCATGAGTGACGTTCTCCTCAGAGTGTCGCCTGCAGAGTGGGATCCAGGCAACCCTCCCGCTCCGGAGACTCGATGTAGTTCGCAGATTCCTGGAGCTTCAGCAGCATGGCCATCTGCGGGCCGCAGGAGAGACAGAGAGGAAGAATGAGCTTAACTTCAGATTATGAGATACGTGTGGATATGCTTTATAATTCAGTTATTAGAATGTAAGATCATTACTTTTTCTTCTAAAGTATTTAGAACCAAAGGAGACACCTTCAAGTTGTTTCTTGATAAGACTGACTTTTGCACTTTTGTGTAGAAAATAGTAATGTTTCCTTTGACCATCAGGGGCGCCATTTGCATCTGCTCAACTTTTCAGTGTAGCTGGATAACATTTTAGTTGTATAAGCCCAGCCGCAGTTTATCTGCATAAAGTGCTGCTTCATTAGAGCTGGTTTATTCTTCTTCTCTTAAGCTTGTCACACTTAATGTTTAAAGGGAAGACACTTTGATTGACCGACTGTGAGCCAATAAGAGTCTGGAAACTGAAACCCTACCTTTTCAAAGTATGTACGATGCTGAGCTCTAATCAGAAAACAGGTTTGAATTTGTGTTTTCATCTCTTTCCCACTTACTATACTGTCTTATCCTCTTTGTGAATGGTTTTTGTGGTGTTTACACCAAGATGATACATGAAACCTTCAGACACAGTTTGCTTGGTCTGCATTTATAGATCAGGTGTAATAGTTTTTTTTTTTGTTGAGAATTCCCTTTCCCCTGTTTTATAAGCCTCTGAGCAGGAATGCCTCGAGGAAAATACAATATGATATAATAAGATAATGTAAAACCTGTTTAAAGACCTTCACACTCACCAGTGGGTCTGACTCCAGTGTGCTGGGTGGAGGTGTGTCTTTGGGGGGCTTCTTCTCCTCACTGGGTGGACCTATGCTAGGGGGAGGTAGATGGAAGAGCTTGGACTGATCCTGCTGTGCATTTGGCCACGGGAGGGTCCCTCTAACCCACTCCACTGGATCCTCCCAAACTGCCTTATGCCCATGCACCTGAGAGGACAGATATATTGTAAATAAACAACAACAAAGAGGTTAAGGAGTTAACTTATTTCCAGGGCTGCTAGAGATGTTCACCTTGATGCCGTCTTTGGATCCCTCCTGCAGGTACGGTATGATGGAGTGGTTCCAAAGGTCAATGAACCACTGTCTGAACTCTGCCACTGAAACAGGACACGACAGGAAGAAGCAAGGACCTGAGGGAGGAGATATCTCAGTTAAATCAACCACAGCTCCAGATCTAATTAACCTCTTATTGTCTGTCCACTGTCTCTCACCTATGAGGAAGTCTGAAGTGCTGTGTTTCTCCAGGAAGGCGTGCAGGTGGTACCAGAGCTGAGGGACCCAGTCCAGTACGCGTAGAGGGCCTGGTGGCATGCGGAATCCTGCTCCTTCTCCTGGTAGGCCTCCGTAGCTTTACGATGCAGGTACCTCAGAAGGAACCCATTTGCTGGTTCCACGTTGTTGGAGAACACCACCATCCTGTGTTCATATGCAAGAAATCTGACTTATATTCTCTATGAAGCTGTACTTTTCCTTGTTATTAGACTAACAGATGAGGAGGTATCGCGAATATTTTCAGGCGTTGTGCTTACCTGAAGCTAAGGTGCAGTCCATGGTTAGACAACATCTTCACAGGCTGATTTGACGTTCCAATGATGTAAGGACTGACACGCAAAAAGAGGGAATTACAGTGTGTACTTTCAAACACAAAATCTTACTTGATCTCTTAAGTGAAAGAGAGAAGCTGTTTGAAGTAACTCACCATTTGTGATACTTGCAGGTGAGTGCTCCATTAACAAGCTCAGTAATAGCCGCTGAGTCACTAATGTCATCTATCAAAACAACCAGCGGCAACTCTCCTCCGCTGTCCCTGTCAATCTGATTGGCTAGATCGGACAGATACAACTGCAACTCCTGTTAGAGGAAAAAAGGGGATTTTTTTTTTAGGGCGTCTAAATCCATATATATGTGTATCAAAGTTAACTGGATGACATTGATTGATATCTTACCTTCTGCGTCTGACGATGCATGTTGAAGGTGACGGCAGTGCTGCGACCTACTAGACATGGCTCATGGTCGGCCTCAGACGAGTCGCTCTGGCTGCGCTGCAGGAGGTAGTGGGCTAGGCGCTGGGCTAGGTAAGATTTTCCCGTCCCGCTGGGGCCAGACAGAACCAGACGCCGGTGCTTCAGCAGCAGGCTGATGTAGTGCTGCATCATCGGCTTAGGAATCAGAGTCTCAAACACCAGAGAGTCGACACATTTCTCTCTGAGACCTGGAGAGAGGCAGACACATGAGAGAGAAAGAGGAGAGCCATTTAGGTTTATACATTATTTATTATAGAATACTTATGACAGTGTGTTAGGAACATGGAGATGCTGATGGTTTAGCCCTTTGTGAATTATAAGTACTCAACAATAAATCAAAGGGAGTTTTAAATGTTGGTTTGCGTTATAAAGTTTCACTTAGGGTGAAAAATGTAATCTTGCTTGAGGGAAGCAATCCATAACTAAAAGTGTTTCCTTTAACGCTTTGTTAAATTGAGTTATCATCACAGGGTGTTTTAGAGTCTCTGACATTGTCTTCAATCAAACTTGTTTGCAGCTGCATAACTGATCATTGTTTCTTTAAATGAGAGCAACAAACATCTCTTTCAAACAAGTGAGAAATTGGCATTACAGTGCAATAAAATAATCTAAGAAAAGTTGCTTCCAAGAAGTTAGGAAACCAATTCTGGGGCACAGATGGTCCCATGTACAGAGACTACAGTCCTCCAAGCAGGCAGCTTGGAGGCCACAGGCTGGTTCAAGTCTGGCCTGGGGCTCCCTTCCCCCCTTGTCATTCCCTCTCTCTCTCTCTCTCTCTCTCTCTCTCTCTCTCTGGTTTCCTACTCTATCATCTGTCATATCCAAGAAAGGCTAAAAGCCCCAAAACATTATCTTAAAAAAAAAAAGAATAGAAAAATAATCAAAGGAAACCATTTCTAATGAAAACTGATTGTCATAATTGTGAATTATAAACGTTTCTAGTTTGAATTCTATGATCAGTTGAGGAAACTCACTTACCTTTCAGGTTGACAAAAATTCGAGCTGCACCACTGCCGAGACAACGATACGGTGAGGTTTGAGGTTTTTCTCCTCCCATCACCCTCTGGCCGCCCTGTGTCAGCTGGTACTTGAGAAGGGAATCACTTGACAGACCCAGGCTGGATGTAGGGTCCACTTGAGTCAGATAGTCCTGGTAAAAAAAAAAAAAAAAACAAGTTCTAACAAAGATTTACTGTTTGTTTAGAAGAAGAAAAAAGGACAAGCATTTACTTACCTTAAAGGTCTTAACTATGAGAGAGTCCAGGCAGGCCCAGTCAGTCCTTGCACTGACCAGCAGGGAGCCCAGGTAGAAATCCTGCTGCTGCTTACTGTCCTGTAGAGACAAACAGAGGGAACAGGAGTTTTATCGCTCTGCTGTTTGTCTTACATTATTAGTTATTGTGGCCATTGAAGGTGTTCTGTGCTTACCGGTGCTTGATCTCCAATGCTGACCAGTACTCGTACACACACCTCATCCATCTGGGAAGACAGACTTAACGTCTCAACAGGAGACAAGTCTGAAAGAGAAAAAAAAAAAAAGAAGGGATGAAAAGAGTTTAGAAATATTACGTTCTTTGTTCTTGTGAGTGATTTTATTTTCAGTGAAATTCCTTGTTTTTCTTTTACCTGGATCTTTACAGTCATTCAGGCTGAGGCTGAAGGATTTGTTGAGGGACATGCTCATGGGCTGCCTCAGTGAGGGTCCCAGCAGAGAGGCCAGGCCTGAGGGCTGGGAGGTGGAGGAGGTGGGGCCAGAGCCGGGGAGTTGAGGCTGACTTCCTGTTTTTAAATTGTCATTCTCCTGCTTCAGATTCTCAACTGTTGACTGGTGCACAGACAGTAACAAATGTTACATTTAAATGATAATAACACGTGTATTTTTGATATACTTAGTGATTGTACTGTGGTGAAAATGCAGTAACATGAAAAGCAAACCTCCATGTTGTTCATGGCTTCTCTAAGCTGCTCCAGCTGATGTGCAGAGCTCAAGGCCTCCAGTCTGATGTCTGTCAGCTCTCTCTCTTTCACCCAGAGTTCTGAGCGTAAGTCTGATACTGCTTCATCATTGTCTCCTTCTTCTGTACTCTCCATGATCCTGAGGGGGCAGGATTCACTCATCAGAACCAGACACCTATGCAAACTTAAGTGGACTTCAAGGTAACACCCTGAGGCCCGAGGAAAACAATCTGCTCTTCTAAATGGTTGATTCCCGCTGCCATCAGGCTGTTAAACCGAGACAGGAGTCACTTGGAATGAAAAACGTCTTTGTATTATTGTACAGTTCTTGTGTTTATCCACACAGTGGTTTATAAATGTGATCCTTTTGGCTGCAGCCTGTACATTCATTCTCTGAATGTAGTCCTAAAATGTAAAGTGCAACACATCTTAGACTGCCTTATTTATCAATTCATTTATTGTTTTACACTTTAACTGTTTATTTCTATCCTTGCCTTGCTCTCTCGTGTGTTGTTGTTTGTGGGGCCACACGGTGGTGACAGTGTGCATGTACTGATTTATTTATTGTCTCGTGTCTGTACGTCTGCCGTTTATCTGTAAATGTATGTATGGTCTGGGTAGACTGTAGGAACCAAGTTGGCCTTTGGGATAAACAAAGTTGCCTGAATGCGAGTTTGAAACTGAACTTTCTGTATCTGAGAGCTTGAGTGAAGTGTTTGTGTACTTACACAGAGGAGGTGGCAGAAGCCGACGTCTTCAGAGACGAGGACAGGTTTTCTTCTCCTTCGCCTCCCTCATGGAGCATCTTTGGAGAGTTAGGAGCCGAGGAGTCAGGAGTGGCGATTTCCTCAATGTCTGAGTATGTTTTGGAGCCTTTCTTGATGCTGAATGCCTTGTTGAAGGAGCTCCTCAGCTAGAGAGACAAAAGTTGAACTTCTTATTTAAAGCTGCATTTGTTACTCAGAGGTAGAAAAGAAGGCGTTGGGATTTTGACTTTGACACATGCCAAACATTGGAGGAGCAGTTTGTCATCTTGAGAAACACTGGTTTGCTTTCTTGCCACAAGTGAAACGAGGAGACCGTGAAGGACTTTTTAGAAATGATGTTGGGAGCTGGCTGTTTCCCAATTTCTGCTCTTTTTCGCTAATGTAAGCGAACACATTGTTGATAGACAAACTATCAACACATCAACATAAGACTGGTCAAAACTTTTGCATGAAAAATAATACATGATGTTTTTTTTCCCAAAAATGACAAAATATCCCTTCAAGCTTTTCTGCAAATTAGTCAAAGTTAATGTCAGGTTTTTAAAGATCAGCTGGGTGGGTTGGGGTTATGTAGTAAGACTTTACACAATTTTAGATCGGGACAAAAAACAATAATGCATGATGTAAATGAGGAGAAACATGGCATTTTATAAGCTTTTATTAAAAACAGACAACATGTCTGCTGATTGCCACTCTAACCCAATTATAAAATAAATTTACATCAAATATTCATACAAGAGTCTATCAGTGGTCATGAGCAGAGATGGAGGGTACTTGAAAAAAGTATGGATGGTCCATCATGCTGTATTATAGAAAATTATAGAGGTTTAATTTGGTACACAATATCTGCACTTACCTCAAAGACCTACAACAGAAAAATAACACAACACAGAGGAGGGAGAGGCTGGTCACACTTGCTGTTGTCGAGTTTGTGTTATTAACAGACTAACACCAGGTTGAGAGAGGAAAATCTTTGGCTCAGAATAATGCAAGGTGCTTTCTTACCCAGCTCTTCTTCTTCTTCTTCTTGGCATCTTGGTCCTTCAAGCTGCCCATACTGGACATGCTGGTCAGGCTGTTGAGACTGGAGATGCTCTCGCACGAGTTCTGGCGCCGAATTCGCACGTCTGTTAAACGAGGAAACGGGACATCAAGACATGCAAACATGAAGAGACGCAGAAGAAGCATCAACAGGTCAAACTCCAAACCTTTCATGTTATCTGGGTTGTTCAAGGCTCCGTGTATGACAGCCTGGGCTTCTTCATTCTTGAATCTCAGGGACTCGATGGTCTCCCTCAGGTCAATCAGCTCTGTGTCCTACACAGGCATTTGATAAATGACAGCGATTTGGATTAGATTAATCCGTTTTAAAATTCAGATATTACAGTTTTACCCTCCTCCATTTTTTTTTTTTTTTTAAATAATCCAAGCAGTTTTTTGTATATATTTCTACCACTTACTTGCTCTAGTGAACCACACACAAGTATATCATTTTAATGAATTTCTATTGCTCAATCTCAGAGTATGGTGATGTAGCCTGATATCATACATTGTACTCTTTGATTGGTTAGACTTTATGATTTTTCAAACCTTTTTAAAATGTCTGTTTTTGAATATCCAGAATAAACAGGAACAGTTTCAATTTGATGATTTAATCCAGTACTACATTTTAAACCAGCACTATGATCTCAAACACCTGGCAGGCTCCCTCGTGATGTTAACAGTTCAAAAGGACAAAGACTTCTGAACAACGGTCTCTCTCTCTGTGCTGCTTGTTGTGTGTTAAAGTCGATTGCACGCCTCTCTAAATGGAGCTACCCGACCCGTCTCCTCAAAGTTAAAGAGCCTGTGCTCCAGGCGGAGCTGCTCAGGTCAGTGCGCTGGCACACACAACAAAGAGGTTTTTTTTTCTCTGGAGGGTCTAGACGGGCCTTTCAGAGAGAGCAGTAAGGCATGAAGCACTGAGAGTGACTCCTCACATTTATACCCACACTGAACATCGCCTAGAGCACTGATCAATTCTCTCACACCAATGCACGTACAAAAGCTGAAGAATGCTGGAATGTAATGTTTGGTGTGAGTGCACGTGCAAGCTGTTTGCACTTGGGCACTAAGTAACCCTGAGGGACAGCAGCCTGGGCCTCTAACCTACATCTAGCTCGTCTCTCCAGGCTGTGATCAAAGTCACCTTGCTGTGTGTTAGCACAACTCTGCCCCCCACTTAGTTTTTTGACTACAAGACGGACTGCACCAAGTATAAGAGTTGCCCGTGTCCATAAAGCAGGTTTTTTTTCTGAGCGCCAGCTTCTTTTTCAATTGTTTTCAATGAGCATAGAGCGTTTGCAGCAGAAGGCAGGACAAGGAGAGCGTCTTTTTCCAAGCGCTGCAATTTTTGTGTGGCTGCTCCAATCGCTTAAGTTTTCTTTCAGCGCACAAACATGCATAGCCAGCATTTCTCTGCCTGGAAAAAGCACTAGGTGGACTAGGGGCCTTTAAATAAATATGGATAGAAATCAGAAAAATGTTCAATCTTTGTATGACAACTACCAGGAAGATGAGTGTTTTTTTTAATAAAATGTAAGAATGTAAGCATTATGAATGCACTACAGGGAAAGGTTGTTGCCAAGATATTATTTAAACTTCAACCAATTTTAAAAATGATTTTATGACTATCAGAGATGTGAACAGTTATTTCTATTTGCCTTTTTGAAGAACGTCTCTCCTTTGTTAAAGTTACATTTGTCGTAATCTGCCGTGGGCTACGTTTGGTAAATATTGTACGCTCTGTTTTTGTGATCCATGCCCTGTTAGCGATGTCCTGAATCAGATAAATAAATGGAATGAAATGAAGTTAAAAGGAAATGTGAGGATGTGATGTTACCTTCTGATCATGGCTTACTGACAGACTCTGCAGACGAGTCGTCATCAGTGCCAAGCTTTGCTCAAAGGCAGCCACCAGATTTGCCTGTTTGGAAGGAGGAAAGACAAAAGCAACTTTTATGAAAGCAGAATACGTATAACAGGATTCAATGTGTGATATTTATATAACTGGTATTTGACAGATCATCTTTTAGACACTGATAAAGTGTCACTGTAGCGTCACTTTTCTCCCTGAATAACACACAAAGGCTGAACAGGACATCTCCTGTGGAAAATTCATCTCCTCCCTAATCTCTCCCTCACACACACACACACACACACACACACACACACACACACACACACTTTGGACGCCATCAGGAAGGGAAAATTACTTTCCCAATCTCCTTTATAGAATACATTAATACAGTAAACTAATGGAGTCAGCCCAGTCATTAATCCAGCACACAATCCTGTTGTGATCCTAGCATCTGTTTTGCATATTCACTGCCCTCACGTAATAAGGTCACACTGAATGAAAAAACCTCTCAGGGGAAGAATACGCACACGCACGCACACGCACACACACACACACACACACACACACACACACACACAGACACACGCACGCAAAATGACAAAGACAAAGAAAACACTTGATTGATGCGTGCTGCATCGAGCTATGAGTAATCCCTGTGCTGCACTGCTGCAGTTGGACCAACGGAAAAACTGACAGGGTGGTGGTACAGGGACAACCTTGCAGAGAAAGGGCGTGAGTGTGTGTCTATGTGTGTGTGTTGGTTCTGCAGCTAAGTAGCTCTGGGAGAGGTTCAGGAGGAGTTTAACATTATTCAGTCTCCCTCATGGATAGCAAATATGCTGAGGCGGCACAGAAATGATGTATGACTGACATGCTAGAGTTTAAAAGTATAAATCTCTCTCTGTGGGTCTCTTTCCTAGTTTGAATGAAGGACAAACTAAACTTTCTGTCTCAACCAGGTGTTAGCACCGACTCCATACATACAGTATTTCAGGTGATCAATATAAAGCTGTAATATTGAACAGTGGCTTAGTAATTGCTTTTAAAACTGCATGCAAGTGACCAACTCAAACCAAACATCAGGTCCCAGGTTTATCATTATGAAGGAGCAGGGTTCTAAATGTCTTAAATGTGATGTTTAAAAAAAACATCAAGTAGCAATGATCTAGTTCAAAAACATACTCTGATGAAGTCATGCACCGTGCGGTGTGTTTTGTTTTATACTTTAAGCAGGAAGAAAAAAAGACAAGCTGTCATTGCTCTTTCTCTGCCATTGTGCCTTTAACAGTCATGGGGTCTTTATGGGGATCAGTTACCTCTGCCTCAGGGTACATGTCATGTTGAGCTGGACAGTTTGTAAAGACGAGTGACATGTGACAGGATTCAGAAGTAGGAGGGGGGTGGGTTACTTCACATAAGATACCCCGAGGGAAGGTTGCATAAGATTACTGCAAGTATGGCATGTAAGCATTGATTGTACATTTTACCAGTTTAATGCATCTTCATGTCTTTTATACAGTTGTCCCCAGTCCAAACATGCTTTGCTGTTTTATTGTTATTTTTTGAGTATTTTGCATGTTTTGTAGGAGAGTTAGGCGTCTTTGTGCGTATTAAAACTGTCATGTAAATGGATGAGCAGAAATAAGCAGAGTTACAGTACGTACGTTTGCTGTCAGCTGTGTTGTCAAGTTAGACACTTTCTCCTGGGATGATTCCAGCTCCCTCCTCAGCTTACGGATTTGCTATGAAGAAAAACAGGTTTTTTACTATTTGAAAAAAATACATGGTTTAGTAGCGCACAAAAATGCTGACTTTACACAAGCCACAAGTTAAAGGGATGTTTTTTGTTGTTTTTTTTCCCATGAGATGAATGACAGACTTGTTCCCCCTCAAACAACGGGGATGAGAGTGATGGATGACAGGACGGTAAATGAGAGGGAGAAGGAGCAGAGCTGGAAAAGACACACTCACCTCTCCCTGAATCCTTTCCTCAGCCTTTGGAAGCAGGGGGGAGTAAAAGTCAAGATGTTAGGTAAGAGAAAAGGAGACGAGAGGAGAGAACATGCAAGGAAAGGAGACTTATAAGGTATTTGGCCACCCAAGGTAGAAAGTCTTGCCTCTCGTGTCTACTATTTTTTCAGTGTGAAAACAAAGAAAAGCATCACTGTACACATCATCACACACACAGAGCTGTAGCTACCTGAGTCTGCATGCCGCCTACACTCACCGAAGAGTAGCAGGAGGAGGCGTTAGATGCCAGGGAGAGTACAGACCCATGGACTGAAAAGACAAAAATTGAGAGGAAAGGTAACCGTAAATACATTTTTAAAAAGTTGCAAAACAACAGTTAATAGAACATTATTTAACAGATATGCAGTTAATTTGGGGCTCACCCTCGTCTTGCTCCTTGTCCCTGAAGGATCCAGAGCGAACCATCCCCATGCTGCGGGGGCGTTCAGCCAGCGACAGTGTGCTGCCTAGTGGAGATGCTCCGTACAGCTCCAGAGAGGCATCGTGTGTTGGGATGCTGTTGGATCGAGTCATCCTCGGAGGTCCGCCAATGGGGCTGGGTACTAGTGAGAAACCAGAGGGATCGACTGAAGTTAAGTTACAGACTTCAGAAATGATATCAAACACATGAACAGATTTAAATAACACGATATGCTCACCCATGCTGGTCTTTGAGGTGCGGGGCAGGGAAGTGGGTGGGGACAGCAGCGGGAGATTGAGGGAGTCGGTCATACTGAGGATAGTATGAGAGTGTCTCCTCTCTCCTTTCTCCTTCCCTTCGTCCTCAATCTGAGAGACACTGCTGAAACTACACAGAAAAGAGAACAGAGCCATTGAGCATACTGGAAAAAGATACTGTACCAATGATAAATAGAGAAACTTTAAATCACTATGGATAGGCCTATAACATGCCATCACAACGTAGCTACAAGCAGATGTAAGTACCTGTTTATCAATGTACATTTGTTTTGTTTTTTAACATGTGTAACTGCTCATTTGAGAACATATTTTGCGCCATTACAATTGTGTACAATTTATTTTCATTTATAATTTGTGATATATAGCAGCAAGAGGTTACACTGCATAGCGTTCAAGTTGTTGACAACTAGATTATTGAACATTTGGAAATACCCTTAATCAGCTAAAAAGCTCAACGCTTTGTTATCAACCATTCACTGAATGTTAATTTACTGTTTTTAAATGTTAAGAGGGAGTTTTCTTCAGTACCAACATCTTTCAGTGAGACACAAAATGTCCTCAGTAGAACACAGTGAGTCTTTATTCAGGGGATTAAAGCTGGATATTTTGTATTACAATTTATATAAAAACTGAGGATTAACACACCTGCCATTAACTGGTGATCTTATCAATGGGACCTTTGTATTTGAAATAAAGGGACTTTGGTGACATTGTGTGAAACTATCTGTGCCTGAAAATCCAGTTCATAAGGGTGTGTATGTATTTCAGGCCCAACTCACCTCAAACCTTTCTTTGGCAGCGTGTTTCTGTCTCTCTGAGAGCTGTGGAGATTCAACAATGTCATTATTAAACCACTGCTTTGGGGAGCTATTAAACTCTCAAGAACAGGCAGCAGGCACAAAGAAGCACAGTATGACTGTCAGACAACTGGTGTCAGCCCATAATTATGACTTCAGTCAGTGGGGCCCGTTTAGCACTGATAATAGGCCTGCAGTAATAACAGTATATGTGTGTGTGTGTGGGAGTGCATGCTAATGGTTGCGTAAGCTTGTGAGTTAACAACGGAAATACTATTTTTAACAAACCTTTGGGCTTTCTTCTGTATATTTAGCTTATCATACATTTCATATAACCATATATAGTACAGAGGTTCTGATATACGACAGTTATTAAGATTTTTTTTATCCTGAAAGACCAGACATTAAATCTATTTTTTGGTGTTTTTATCTCTTTTCTTTTTGTGAAACGGTACTCTTCCTCTCTTCATCAAAGATACGGCTGTCCAACAAAGTGGGACATCTTTTCTAGAATGAAGCCAACTAAAACAACTTTTCATCTGCACATTGCATGTGGCGAGGGAAATGATTGATTGAACAAAGTGAACTGCATATGAATACAATGGGTGCTGTTCTTCTGATGACCAGTAGGTGGAGCTACATAGCAGTAATGCAAAATATTGAAGACACATATTCTCTTTTGCTTAAAACTAAGTGTTGCTTGCTGGTTTCAGAAAAATATGCAAATATGTGTTAAAGATGATGTTTCGTTGAGATTACTCTCACCTGTCAATGAGAGACATTGAGACTTTACTTCCAGAACTCCAGCTGGCAGGAGGGCCTCTGTCTTCTCGTCTATCTTTGTCTCGGGACTCTAAGGTGGTATAGCCTCGTACCAAACTCTCCCTGTCCTTCTCCTTGGGCTCTGGGGCCAGACTCATGTGGAGCTGCAGTGACTCCATGCTGCGATGAAGCCCAGACAGACGAGGGTAGAGAAGGGGAGAGGTGTTCCCTGCGCTTACTTCAACTCCCAAAGAAGAGACCTGCCTGGGCCCCAAACCGGTTCCCGTGTTCGAGAAGCAGGAAGAAGAGTTCACATTGAGTAAAGGGGCCGGGCTGGGGGTCAGGCAGGGGCCCGTGGAGCTGGCGAGGTCCTGGAGCTTAGAGTACGGTGGGATCTTAGGTGGGAGGGAGTCATGAACTCCTATATCCAGACTGCTGGAGTGCAGTTTGTCCAGCTGGGCCCCGGATGGCGGTTTAGCCAGACTGCGTACTCCAGATAACCTTTAGACAAAGAGGAACAAAGATAAAGCAAATGCATTTTCATATTTAGGAATTTGGTCAAAATTTTGACAAAATACCAGGAAATGGTAAATTTGGTTAGTGTACGGATATGAGCCCTGGTACCTGTGTGTGTTGGGTGAGGGGAGATCCATGCTCTTGCCACTGCTCGGGGGTCTCAGCCCCTGCAGCTTCCCTCCGTTCTCTGACGGGGTCTGAGCTGGGCTGCCCTTCAGAGAGCCGCTTCCACATTCAGAGTCAGACGCTACAGATTTAGTTCTGGCCCTCTCTTTCTCCTTCTCCCTATCTGTCTGATTGACAGGACCTGGGCTCAGGATCCCACGGCCCCCCGCCTTACTAAACCCTGACCCAGAACCGTGTCCTGAGGTGGGCTCTTTGAGTCTTGAGCTCTGGGGTGTTACAGTGGAGGGTTTGATAAGCCCTGAGCCTGTGTCGATGGTGGTGCTCACGGGGCGGGCTGAGCTTGGTCGGGTTAGAGTTAGGGTGCTGGTTTTGGCGGGGCGGGCAGAGAACGGTACTGTAGAGATGTCCTGGCATTTGGGGAGAGAAAACCGCTCGGGTCACCGTTTGAAACATCTAGACTTGTCTTACGTCCTCCACCGCTACCACCACACACTGGTTTGACAGGAATACCAGACGATTTGGGAATCTTTCCCACAGTTGCAGAGTTGCAGGGTATGGAGCTGCCACCTGTACTGGTGACAGCGGGCATGCTTGAGTGGTTTGTGCCATTAGCATTGTTCGGCTTCTTGAAGCCAAAGCTTCCTCCGGTCGAGGGCCTGACGAGGCCGGATGGAGGTTTGCGTTGCTCGCCAGCGCCGGTGCCGTTTCTGTGGTCTTTGCCAGCATCAGAAGAGGAGCGCTGAAGGCCAGAGGTCTTCACCGCTAACCGAGATTTATCCATTGGCTTTCCGTCCAACTTCACTGAACCTACAGACGGAAAAGACGGGGGAAAAAAACCCATTGATGAGTAGTTCAAAAAGTTGAAAGCCTAAACAGTCTCTGGTGGTGAGTGAGACTGACCAAGCCATATTAGGACATGATGTCTTATCTGAACACCTACAAGGTCTGACTGTCTGCTGATAAAAAACAAATCCCAGTCTGCACAGACAGTGAGTAGACCAGACTCTCAGACACACACACACACACACACACACACACACACACACACACACACACACACACACACACACACACACACACACACACACACACACACACACACACACACACACACACACACACACACACACACACACACACACACACACACACACACACACACACACACACACTGTTATCATGCAGTTACTCCTCTTTTCCATCCTGATGAACTAAAACGGTTTTCTCTGGCTTTCCAGTAAGTGCACGTCTGTGTGTCACAGCTGCACGGTGCTCAGACTAGCAAGTTCAGCGTGGCCGTGGAAAACTGGTGTTCACACTCACAGAAGCGTGTTTGCGGCACAAACCTGCATGAAAAACCTCGAAAAACTTTAATTCCCCACTGTTTGGAAACAAAAAAGGGCGGAGTGAGAGATAACTCCAGAGGGAAAATTATGTGATTATGTACCAATCTGTACATTTCCCAGTTGGCCAATTAATTGGACTTGTTTGGAAGTTATTAAGGGAAAAAACACTCCATAAGACACATGTGCACTATATGCACTACCCACACAACGCCGCCCACGCTCTTAATTTGTATCTAATGGGAGTTGTTATAGGAGGTTTATGTACAAGGCATTAACAGAGTCAAAGAACTGCTGTTCAATGAGACCCACCGGCGTGCTGCCTTGGGACATCTGGAGTCACTTAAGGGTATTTATGAAGCCGCAAAAGACACATAAGCTCACATACGGCCAGACATACAGTATATACCACACACACAGTCACAGTCCTCAGTGATCGGATCGTATAGGAATGTGGCACAGACAACACATTAGGCTTGGAGTTCTGTTGTAAATGTGAAAATTGGGTTTACATGTCAAGTCATAAACTCAATCCGTCGTGTAACCGCAATGCTGCATGATCCAAGAACATTATAAGCTGCAGAAACACACACTGCTAGCGATGAAAAGCCAACACACACTCACGCACAGCAGAATCCAGGCGTGCGTATTCATTGTGACATAATGAAGCCTGATTTATTGACACGGCTGTAGAGACTGTTGAGCTCACAGATAGACACAGTGACGTGTAGAAGATACCTGAATTACATCTTCACATCACTTGGGATGACTCATTAATATTCTCCTCTCTTAGGTATTTCTCTAATTAAAGCCACTCTGGTCTTATCTATTCATTGACTCCAGAATGTTGTTGACAGTATCTCCCATTCACCATCAACATGTATGTGCTTAGCACATTGTTGGTTAAATTACAGTATCAAGACTTGTTTACGTGTAACAGTTGTTTGATTCATTTTAACTAATTCAGTTTGATGTAACACTCTACTGTTTTTCAAGATTTTGTCCCATAACGTTGTGCACAAGGGAAACACTGGCTTCACTAACAGCTTGAAAAATGTTAACCAATTGGGAAATATCTGCATCAACATGCAAAAAGCAAACCAAATAAAGTGTAAATAACCTGAAAAAAGCATTTTGACTCTTCTGAAAACTAGGTTCAAGAGTTTGAGGTTTGAGTGTTTTATCAAGGAAAAACTTAAAAATATATACAAATACATATTTAAATATACAGCTTTTTGAATGAGGCCTCTCTTCCCTTGTATCTCTTTAATAATACTGTAAACTGAAAATCTTAAACTTTTGAAATATTGGTCAGAATTTTTTCCTTGATGTTACCTTGTTTTACGAACTTGTGATCAATGGCTTTGCTATTTTCTTTTTCTTTAAGTGAACATCCCATTGATTGGAAATTGTTAGCTTTTAGTTGCATCCACATAAGCCTGCAAACAATTTTTTTTTTCTTACTGAATATACAATACAGTGAGTATAACTGAGGGAGCTGCTCGTCTATACCTGCACCTCCTTTGAAGCTCTCGTACACTCTGTCCCATACAATATCACAAACATGCAGACACATACACAACCAAAATGAGACACACATGCACACAATCCTTCCAAACCTCAGAGATAAACCGATCTCAGGGATGAGCACCAAAGACATGTCTGACTGTCTAAGAACGTCTGCCTCTCATTTGGTTGAATTTATGAGCTCCTCTAAACTGATGAGCTACAACAAACTCTGGCAGTCTGCTGCTATCACTCCAATGCGTCAAGTGATTAGTCAGAGTGTGAAACCCAGTGGCAGATTGAGTTGTCTTTATAGCATTTTCAAACTGATCTCATCAATAACAACTGATGATCACAGGCTGATAAAACAAACTTTCTTTTTTGACCTATCTGTCATCACAACAGCTGGCAATGCAAACACTGGACAGTCCAACTGAAAGAGGACTGTTTACACAGACACTACCTATCTAGACCGACACACATTCGATTAACTAATATCCTTTTGTTTGGATTGTCTATATGAGTGTGTGTTTTTGTGTGTGCTTACATAAACGGCACACAGATGGCGTACTTAAAAGGCAGCTGCACAATCCCATCATTGTGCGCTTTGTGCGTCAGGGAGAGTGTGTTTGCGTGTTAAGTGTTAGGGGTGACACTCTGTTTGGCTGGCACAATCTCAGATGTGTCTGCACTCACACTAACACACACACACACACACACACACACACACACAATTAGTAACACACACACTCTGACACACACTGTGTCTCTGGTCCAGTTGTTTCAGGGTACAAGGCCTTTTATTTAAGTGCTATAAATTCTCTCCGCGCTGCACTAAATTAAAGCTCGGATAGGAAAGGCTGGACCAATAGGAAGGAAAGAAAAGACAGTGTTAGTCAGTGTCTGTGTGTAGTGCGTGGTTGGCTGGCAGGAAGGGAGTGGGTGTTGATGGGCGTTTGATACATGGCACCACTTTCTAAAGGCCCGGAGGGTGGGCTGCAGCTGTGGGTGAAATGTGTGGGATGAAGACAGAGAGTGTGTGTCTGTGAATGTGAGACTGCCAGGAGGAGGGGAATATTAAAAAACAGCAAAAGAAATATGTCAGTCTGCTCAGGTTATGAAACAATTTCAAGTTTAGCTATAAATATCACACCTCAGTGAGTGTGTTTGTGTGTTTCTCTACTCACCTGCCACTTTCAGCCCACTTTGAGAGGTGTGTGTAATCGGGGATGTGACTCCCACAGGTGGGTTTCTTCCTTTCTTTAAGATGTTTCCTTGACCCAGGGTCTGAGGTTTCTTCAGTTCACCCTTCCCTCCTTCCAGCCCCTCCCCATGCGTCCGAGTCTTTTTCCATTTATTGGCAGACTCGGACTTGAGACTTCCTGTTTCGTAGATGCCCCTGCTCTGGCTCTTGCGTCCTGGTTTGGTATCGTCAGTATCCCAGGACAAACCACTCTCAACCAGAGATCTCTTCTCTGCATCTGTGCGCATCTAGAATAAAAGAAGACAAAAAACATTTATTGAGACAGTGAGATTGCGTTGTGACTTAAAATCATGGTTAAAACCCAAGGTCAAGCAGCATGGCAACATAGTGCTGCTGTACAATGAAGAAGCTCTCACATTAAAAACTATGTAGAGGCTTTGTTGTTAAGTTAGTAAAATGGAACAACCCACACTCAGTACAATCTACTCCACCCTGAGAAGAAGGCTAGCTTACACAGTATATCTAAAAGCTCTGAAAAGAAAGTTGGTTGATCAAGTGTTTGGATTGTTGTTAAGGAGTTGTCCTAGTCATTTTTTTCAAAGTAGGAACTCGTAATATACAGAGGTTCAGATGGTAATGCACTAGCAGTATACCAATACTAAACAACAACACTATAAGAATAAAATAAAGTTAAATCCAACTTTGAGAAGTGGACTCAAAAGTACACATCTCCATTAATAAGATGTTTATTATTGTTTGAAATTCCAGTGTTACTTTGCATGATTGTGATTCATTTCCATGTTACAGAGTAAAGTTTGGACACTGGGATAAATGACTCAATGGAACAACTCATTGAATCATTTAAGCTGTTTAGAAAAGTTTCAAAGTGTTTATCCCTGGTTTAATGTTTAATGTAATGAAGGAAAAAAAACACCTAATGAGTTGAGTGGACCCTTTTGTGAGAAAAAAACATGTCCAGTATAGCTCTATTTGAACACCTCAGAGGAGAGCGCAGCGGAATAAGCTGCCTTACACTCACTCATATATACTTTTACACAGATAGCACACTAATGCAAAATATCAGATCATTCAGATCAGACACAAAGACTCCCACACACACTGACCTGCACTGAGAAAACAGACAGCACAGCCTAAACATAATCCAATAAGAAAGTGAGTCAAATGTTAAACTAAAGGAAATATGAGGTCATTATGGAGTCTTTGTGTGTGTGTGTGTGTGTGTGTGTGTGTGTGTGTGTGTGTGTGTGTGTGTGTGTTTGTTTGTCTGCTGAATACACGCAACAATCAATCTCTGGATAAGTACATGAGAGTGATTATTGGAGTCTGCATGAAGATGGATATCACTTGTTTTCATAGAGTCAGATTATTCAACCCCCTATGATGATTACACAATTACGCAAGGTGTCTGTGTGTGTGTGTGTGTGTGTGTGTGTGTGTGTGTGTGTGTGTGTGTGTGTGTGTGTGTGTGTGTGTGTGTGTGCGTCAGCTCAGGACATTACACAGAGAGGTTCTCATGAAGACTCATATGCTGAATTCCTTTTTTATTAAAACCAATAGACCCCATGGGCAGGTTCACATCACGAGGAGGAGTCATGGGTGTGTGTGTGTGTGTGTGTGTGTGTGTGTGTGTCCTGTCTGAACAGACCTTGTTGATAAAACATTGTCATTTCCTCACACAAATTCTCTGATTATTGAAACAGGAGGAGAGATACGCATCCGTCCTGACAGCTGTGGCAAAACATGAACAACAACACAAACATAGACAGAAAGGGCCACACAAACACACACACTAGACTAGATACTGGGACAACAAGGTGTACTTGTTTGAATAATTGGTCTACCTGTAAAACGAGAAAAACGATGGATATTTTTTGTCCACCTACATGAACCTCCTTCCAGTTTTAATTCTTTTCTATCCTCATGTCTTTTGTGTGCTCCTTTCCTTTTATACCCTCCTCTCATTAAACCTCAAATCCTAGTTGAGTATGTTGTGTAATATGTGGGGGAGAAGTAGGACGAGAGGATAGAACGCCAGAGGCCGCCTTTGAGAAAAATGAAAAACCAACAAAAAGGGAAACGTTGGAGGTATGCAAAAGAGGAAACAGAGATGAAGAGATTCAGGGCACAAAAAATAGAAATACAAGAGAGAACAGGGAGCCATGTGTATTTGAAATGTGGGGTGCATGATGATGTGATAGTTGGTTACCATGGAAATGATGCCATGGTGGGGGGTAATGGTTGCTATGACTCCTGCATCTAGGCGTGGAGGGAGGCGCTCCAGCTCTTATAGCTCGCTGGGCAAGGATGCAGGACTGCAGATGGCCCTGTGTGTGTTGTGTGTGTGTGTGTGTGTGTGTGTGTGTGTGTGTGTGTGTGTGTGTGTGTGTGTGTGTGTGTGTGTGTGTGTGTGTGTGTGTGGATGGCCATGTACTAGACCTTTCCTTTCCTTATGTGTACGTGAGCAGACAAAGACCCATACTCTCAGCATCCCTGTGCTATTGTTGCCATGGTTACACTGATTCTTGATTCCTGCTCATGTTGTCTCCTCTTTCTGTAAAATCCCTCCACATCAGTCACATTAACCACTTTGCGGAGGTGTGACCTACATCAGACACTTCGGGAAAACACACGCACACACGCACGCACGCACACACACACACACACACACACACAGTCTGGAAACGATACAGCCACAGATGGATGTAAAAGAACCTCAAGCAGGGCTGCAGACAGGCTTTAGAAGCACTGATATCATAAGTCACATATCCTTCAATCCCAACAGTCGGACATTTTAAAGCATCAAAGCAGATTTTTAAGAGTAAAGGCTAGATATATCAATGGACTTCCATAATTGTGCAGAAGAAACTAAATCACACAAGCTCCAGTCAGTCAGCCGGATGAAACACCTGAACTAAAGAAAAAGAGCTAGAACGATACAATTCCCAAACCTTTACAGCAACAATGACATTACATACTAATAATATTTCTATACAAATCTAAATTCTTAAATTCTATTCATTATCCACAACTGCAGATCTAAAACAAGAAAAAAAGGAACAGCTTCGACAAACACAGGGTCTGCTTCAGGGTGTGACTAAAAAGAGTCCCAAAGCACTTGAGCAGCAACGCACTGCATTCTTACAGTATTTTGGGAAATTCTTAATAATTTGAATTTAGATTTAAAAAAATAAACACAGATCAATGACCAACAAATAAGCCTACGCATATACTAGCGGGCCATTTCTGGACTTTCTACACAAAAAAAACCCTGATTACAACATTTACTACAAAAAACCATTAGCTGTGAACCCCCAAAATATAAAAATAGGAGCCTGTTGTTGAACACTGCAGTATGTGTGTTGCAGTGGCATTGATCGCTGCAGATGTGATAAATAATATGAGAGTGCGCTGAATACTTAATCAGGCTTTGTCTCTGATGCCCGTTGTTGCGCATGGAATGTGTGTCCTCTGCACACTCACGGACTGAGTGTATGACACACCATTCAGCACCTCATCAATACCTCACTGGATTAACAGTTTAATCGATACTACTGTAACCAACACACACTAAGCCATGTGTGACTTACCACGACAGAGGAGTTTCTGCGGGAGCCGATGGGAGTTGTGGGAAGGGAGTTGAGAGTGGGACTGGTGTTGAACTCTTCAGAACTGAGGTTGTCTGAGCCGTCACTCAAACCGCTGCTGATGGAACTGCTCTCGTCCCAACTATAAGGAAGCAACGACAAAGAGGACATGTAAGATTGTATTCAAAAAGGAGAGGAGTGGTTCACAATCAGAGGATACTGCACATCTGCTTTAAACAGGGTATACATGTAAACACTGTGACATAGCTGAACTAATCTGATGGTACTTTCTTCATACATTGAGTTTGATGTAATCATCACAATCAACAGTATATGAAAACAACTTATCAAATAAGAAGAGAAGTCTAAAACAGCAGCAAATAGTACTGGATGATTAAAATAAAGACATAAACTTGACAGTAAACTTGACAAACCAATTCTACTTTAAAGGATCAAATGTATGGAAATAAATATTGTAGCAAGATACACAAGACACTGAATAAGGGGTATTTGGGATCATGGAATGGGGTTTGGGGTTTTCTTTCCTGGATCATTGGAGTCATTTCATCAGCCTTACAGCAGCTTATCCATTAAATGCAAGACAGTCAGTGTACAGCAGCAAAGATGTAAGACACAAACATGAAGAGGCACATTCTAGTGCTGTGCTTGGGTTCAGGTGGCGGTTATGTATCGTCCTCTGTAACAGACGATCCAGACTTTAAGCATCAATCAAACAACCACCTGTCAGAAAGGCTCTTTGATAATGACATTAAACCCGTCCAACACTGAGGGACAAACATCTATCACATACCACCCCATGCTCTCAAATCCAAGAATATCTGACCAAAACAATCTGTGACAGTTAGCTTGATATATCTCTGATGTTTGATACTGAATGCACCATTTAAGCCCCGCGCTCTCAGTTACATCAGCGCCTGGTTTACTCGGCTCGATGTCTACCAGTTTTTCTTTTGATTAAATATTCATTGACCTCAATTAAAGCTGTCCGCGCTCTGTATCTAACTTTCTCACTTCATGAGCTGCAAACTCTTGGCAAACGGAAATCTGGAGCGCACTTGACAATATCTCAACCCACACAGACAAAAATAGCTCTAAAGAACATATATACTGTTGCAATCGCCCACCAGTGCATGCAGGAGTTCGTTCTGTGCCAGGACTATGAAGTCTGTTCGCTTGGCACACACATCAGCTTGAATGATTTTCCTTCTTTCCAAAAGCAATAGTTCTGAGAGTTTTGATAGAAACAGGTTGGGGGTGTATTCACATGGGTCCCCTTTTCTTTATCCATACCAATTACGTGAATATACTTGACCCTCTTGGAAAAGTTTGTGCAAGAGATCTTTGATGAGCCATGCAATCGTGGAACTATTTCAGGAAATAATGTACCCACTTTCCCTCAACCCCTCTTGACTAGTATTGACACTGTCTTTAATTTTGTCTTATCTGACGGATAGAAACTCGAGTATACTGTTGTGATCGGTAGGAGGGCCTTTTTCTTTTTGATAGTTACTACTCCGTTAAAAACCTTTGTTTGACATTTACAGTACAGAACACAACCCTTGAACCTCTTCCTCTGCTGTCAAAAATCAACTTTAAAAATCTACTCTTTTAAATCTCTTCTTTCAAACAATATTTTATCAGGGAGCTTTCCCTGAGATCACTTGACTTTATTGAATGTCCTGTTCTCCTGTGTTGCATTTAAAAAAAATGTTTTTCCAGATTGCAGTTTGGATTTCTTCTCGGACAAATCAGTGAAGATTGATGTTTGATGGCAAAGAATATGGAATAATGTCTCTACAATGACTTGTAGTCATCAGGGAGGGGGCGGGCGGTGTTGATGATGTATGCTGATGTATATCCACATGTGTCTGTATACATTAAGTAGGTCATGTTCAGGAAGTTTGGGGGTTGGGGGTTTCTACTATTAGGGTCAATAGGTCATCCTGATATCCTACTGTACTGGATAACAGGTCAAGGGGCGGGGCTTGTCTAATGAGGTCGTGCATACTGTGTCAGAGGGGAGGATTGAAGGAGAGACAGCGGTGTGGCTCTTCCGGATGGGTGCCTGTGTGGGTCACACAGAACCCTGGGGGACTTGGCGGCAGGGATCAGGGAGAGACGGGTTGAAGGGAAAGCCCTCCCTGTCTAGCCTGTGGATATACAGACACAAAAAAGAGCAGAGGAGATTTTACGTCTGAAGTGGCTGTCATGCTGTCTTGTCTGTATGCCAGAGCAGGATTAGGGGCAAATTGAAGATTGAGGCAGACACATCTAGAGAGCAGGCTGACACTTTCTGTCACCATAACACAAAATAATATTTGCATAAATATCTATTTAACAGGATCTTCCACTAGATTAAAATAAAACATGTGTGATCCATTTTGAAGCTTCTTGTATTTTCATTTAGAATTAATGTTTTCAAGTTTCAGGACATAAACCCGACATCTTTAACTTGTTCTTTTTTTTAAACAATCTTTGTATTAATAAAACAAGTGGAAGTCTTTTATGAATTGGCGGATTAGTTCTTCGTTGTAAACCTGAAAGATTTAACAGCTGTCTTGGAAGGTTGTTTTTCCATAAAGCTAATCTGGGATTTCTGTTCAATCAGATTTCCTTTTTACTCCATATTACAAATGTTCCCAAAGGAACTATCACACTTTGAACACATACACAGTGGGTCTTCATCGACCAAAAACCTCACAGGTAAATCTCCTTTGGAAGACACAGCGTTGTGTTACTATGAGCACCTTTCTTTCTTTTCACATCCTATGACTCCCCTCAGAGTTGTCTGGGTGTCCGGCAGCACTCTGTGGAGGATAATGCTCTCAGATGAATAATTCAGATCTGAACTGAACAAACACAGTCTCTGCTGGATTTGGTGTCAGTCACTTGACAGATGTTAAAACAGGAACAAACAGAGGAGAAGAAGAGGCCAGAGGTCACACATCACAGACAGCACCCACTAGGCAGGTGAAATAAATTGATTAAAGTGATTCTACTGAAAAATGAAATGCACTTTGTGCAATAAAAATCATAAATCCATTGAAGAAGACTTATTGAAAACTGCAAAGATGAGAACAAAGGAGACCTAGAAAGTAGTTGTGATGTAAAGACAATGTGTGCCAAGAGGAACATGAGGTATCATGATTGAGTGTTAAGTTCATGTATGTTTAAGTTTTGGAATGTCTGGGCAAAAAGTTAGGCTGCCTTTAGCTTTGATCGGCAGTAATTATGTTAAATCAGACTTCAATGACCCTCGCTCTGCCTTTATATTTTTAGAGTAGAAAAGCTTTACCAAAGCTCCACAAGATCTTAGAATTTATCTGCCTTGGATTTTAAGCTTCTTGCTAGTTTTTTTTTTTTGTGAAACATTTAGATCCCAAGTGAGTTCAAAGGATTTTGAGTTGAAAAAAATGACTTTTTTATTTCCAAAACCTGAACTCCTCAATTGGTGTGAAAATACGGCGACACCAAATCCACTGTCATGTCATCTGGCTATAGTCCTCCATCAAGCCCTCTGGTGAAGATATAAAGTGAAGTCAGAGATTAAAAAGAAAAAAAAAAAGAGGGCAATGAAACACGAGGATACTCAAGAGGAGAGGGTGAAATGGCGCGTGGGAGAGAAGAAAGAGGTGCGAGGAAAAGCGCGAAAAAGAGAGCTCAAGTGCGAGGAGAGGTGTTCCTGATAACACAGAAAACCTCCTCAACTTCTCACGACACGATGCGCTCTCTCAACAGGGCATCACATCCCAACTCTCCCTCAAAATCTTCCACCAACTCACCCCCTCTACCTCACTCTGCTCCATCCCTACTTTCCTTGACAGCAGCTTCTTAAATCTCCTGTAATAATCTCTCCTCGACCCGCCTCGTCTTCTTCACTCTTAAGCAGCAGCTGCAGAGACTGAGGGATAATATTAGCTCTCCATTCATCTTTATCACACCGTTCACACATGAGCCAGAGCACTTTTTCACTAAAGCCTCTTCCCTGCTACTTTCAAACCTACACTATATCTTCCTTTAAAAAGGACAATAACCATATTACTGCTGTGTGTGGTGACTTGCATTGGCCTATTGTGACTTTCTGTTTGATCTGAAGCTCGAGAACACAGCTGGAAGGAAAGGATGATGACATTGAGAAATGGTACACTTGGACTGTAATTTCATAAGCAAAACGAATATCAATGTTGATTCAATTCAGAGCGCAATAAATGTCAATTCAATTGAGATGCCCTTGATTAAACTCGTTCTTCACCCCCATCTGAGCAAGAATTGTTTTTTCTGCAACCCATGAGCAAAAAGCTGCATCCCACTGAGCAGAGAAGGCCAAACAGACTCGCTGTAATCTGTCATTGAAAGTCAGACGCCTGTCAGTGGTTTTCTCCTCTGTCGTCACTTGTAAAATTAAACACTGCTGCACTGACTCGACAGCATTCTGAGCTTGAGTCTCCTCGCAAAGAATTAGAATCTATTGCGCATTTTGCTGAATATTTCAACGGTTTCAACGGGTTTGAATATTTTATCTTCTTTTTTCAGACTGATCAAGGTCAAAGTGGTCAATATAAACAGAGACAGAGACATGATTTCTTTGTGATTCATAGTCTGCAAGAGAGGACCAGCACACCCACACATGCTCTGAGCCTCAAATACTAACAAGAGAGCGCTTCAAGAGCTGCTACTGAGCTAAGTAGTCAACTTTTACAGACTGGCTTCTGTGCTTCTCTGCCATTCAGACTATGGAGCTAATTGCTCTGATCCCAACATGAATGGTCTTTTTCTTGCTACTCATTAACAGAGCGCTGCACCCTGTCGCCTCCTCTCCCCCGCCTCCATTCCTCTCCTCGCTCAGACCTGTCTGATGTTGAGAAATAGGATGGAGAAAGTGAGAGAAAAACAGTAGATCGATGAGAGAAAATGCCACTGCAGAGACAAAGCAGCCTTGCTTGTGGTTTGTGGGTGCAGTGCTTGCTGGGAGTTGGAGTCTTGCCAGTGTCTGGGAGCAAACTTAACAGTATTGGTTAATAAGCGATTCCAACTGAATACACATTAGTTGTAATTACATGTAAGACATTTTGAAGAATGCGATGCTGACGCTTTTCTGTGTTTGGGTGAATATAATTCAAT